GTCACAAAAGAGTTGGACATGACTTAGCAACTAAACAACAACATAGCCTTTTTAGTAAGTTTATAGTAATTTAAGGCAACAGCTTTCTTACTTTAGAATCTTAAATTGCTATTCACAAAGAAAGCCACCACTGACAACAGATTTTAAGCCTTGTTCTTCTAGAAAACATTGGCTGAGCACTTTATGCCGTAAGGACACACTAGCTGACCCTTAAAATTAGCTCAGAGTGAGACTGAATTATTCAGATTTCTCATTTTTTGATGACTTACACAATATCAGGCCTACCCTAAAGTCAAAATCTTGCCATCGTTGTAAAGATTATTTTAAGTGTACTATAAACCGTAGTGTCAGGGTTCAAAGTAGAGTATCAAAGATAGCTTGAATGATGGTTGCATTGTTAAAATAAGATAACTCCTTCAAAGTTTACAGTGTTCATTCAGTATGTAAATTCCAGCATATTTGTTTCAAAAACATATCCCATGGGACTTGCCTGGTGGTTCAGTGGTTAAGACTCCATGCTTCCACCATGAAGGCAGAGGTTCAATCTCTGGTCAGGGACCAAAGATAGCATATGCTGCATGGCCAAAAACTAAAAAATAAATAAAAGTCTTTTAAAAATTTAAAAAATACAAATTAACCCCATGGAATCACATTGGATAAGGCATTGGTCATTATTAGGCCCTTTACAAAAGTAAAGAGATTGTTGATATATTGGACACTACCTGGAGTCTGAAGACTGCAGAGGCTCACGTTCACCCTCACTCTGCTGGCAGGATTAGAGTTCTGTCTGCCCCGACATCCAGGCAGGTTGGGGACTGAAGCCTGCCACCACCCAGGGACCACAGATGCCTGGACTTGCAGCAGAGCATCCCTGAGTCCTCAGGAGAGCACTTTCCCAGTGGTGATTCAGGAGAGAAAAGGACACTTTGCACATAGCATTATCTTCTACGCCACCTCCACTTCCTTTGAAAGGCCACACCACATTGGAACAAACCCGCTTTTCTTGGGATGTCTAGCACCCTGAAGGTGGCCTGAGAACTAGGACTTTTTGTCCCAACTTTCTTTCAAATTGTTAAGAACTGAGTTCACTTTTTAAACATGTGCTTTAAAGCATAGAGTAAAATCATATTATTATATAAAGTATCATAAGTCATTTATAACTCTACTAGGATGTGCCAAGCCTGAACTTGAAAACTGTAAAGATGTATGTTGTATTTGGAAGGTTTCAGCATCAAAAATACCTTGTTCATACTAATGACTATGAAGCATTAAGGTATAATTATCTGTATATTCTCTGATTAAACTGATGTTATGACATCTTATTTTTTTAAAAAAATGAGAGAATGATCTCTGTTCATTTCCAATGTTCAAACCATTCAATATCACATTAATCCACGTCTATGCCCCAACCAGTAATGCTGAAGAAGCTGAAGTTGAACAGCTCTATGAAGACCTACAAGACCTTCTAGAACTAACACCCAAAAGAGATGTCTTCAGATTATAAGGGACAGGAATGCAAAAGTAGGAAGTCAAGAGATACTTGGATCAACAGGCAAATTTGGCCTTGGAGTACAGAATGAAGCAGGACAAAGGCTAACAGTTTTGCCAAAAGAATGCACTGGTCAGAGCAAACACCCTCTTCCAACAACACAAGAGAAGACTCTACACATGCGCATCACCAGATGGTCAACACTGAAATCAGATTGATTATATTCTTTGCAACCAAAGATGAAGAAGCTCTATACAGTCAACAAAAACAAGACCAGGAGCTGACTGTGGCTCAGATCATGAATTCCTTATTGCCAAATTCAGACTTAAAGTGAAGAAAGTAGGGAAAAACTACTAGACCATGCAGGTATGACATAAATCAAATCCCTTACAATTATACAGTGGAAGTGCGAAATAGATTTAAGGGATTAGACTGGACAGACAGAGTGCCTGAAGAACTATGGACAGAGGTTCATGGTATTGTACAGGAGACAGGGATTAAGACCATCCCCAGGAAAAAGAAATGCAAAAAAGCAACATAGTTGCCTGAGGAGGCCTTACAAATAGCTGAGAAAAGAACAGAAGCTAAATGTAAAGGAGAAAAAAAGGAAAGATATAAACATCTGAATACAGAGTTCCAAAGAATAGCAAGGAGAGATAAGAAAGCCTTCTTCAGTGATCAATGCAAAGAAATAGAGAACAACAGAATGGGAAAGACTAGAGATCGCTTCAAGAAAATGAGAGATACCAAAGGAATATTTCATGCAAAGATGGGCACAATAAAGGACAGAAATGGTATTGGCCTAACAGAAGCAGAAGATGTTAAGAAGAGGTGGCAAGAACACAGAAGAGCTGTACAAAAAAGATCTTCACAACCCAGATAATCACGATGGGCTAATCACTCACCTAAAGCCAGATGTTCTGGAATGCGAAGTCAAGTGGGCCTTAGGAAGCATCACTATGAACAAAGCTAGTGGAGGAGATGGAATTCCAGTTGAGCTATTTCAAATCCTGAAAGATGATGCTGTGAAAGTGCTGCACTCAATATGCCAGCAAATTTGGAAAACTCAGCAGTGGCCACAGGACTGGAAAAGGTCAGTTTTCATTCCATTCCCAGAGAAAGGCAATGCCAAAGTATATTCAAACTACAGCACAGTTGCACTCATCTCACATGCTAGCAAAGTAATGCTCAAAATTCTCCAAGCCAGGCTTCAACAGGATGTGAACCGTGTACTTCCAGATGTTCAAGCTGGATTTAGAAAAGACAGAGGAACCAGAGATCAAATTGCCAACATCTGCTGGATCATGGAAAAAGCAAAAGAGTTCCAGAAAAACATCTATTTCTGCTTTATTGACTATACCAAAGACTTTGACTGTATGGATCACAGCAAACTGTGGAAAATTCTGAAAGAGATAGGACTACCAGACCACCTGACCTGGCTCTTGAGAATTCTGTATGGAGATCAGAAGGCAACAGTTAGAACTGGACATGGAACAACAGACTGGTTCTAAATAGGAAAAGGAGTACATCAAGGCTGTATATTGTCACTCTGCTTGTTTAACTTACATGCAGAGTACATCACGAGACACGCCGGGTTGGGTGAAGCACAAGCTGGAATCAAGATTGCCAGGAGAAATATCAATAACCTCATATATGCAGATGACACCACCCTTATGGCAGAAATTGAGGAAGAACTAAAGAGCCTCTTGATGAAAGTGAAAGAGGAGAGTGAAAAAGTTGGCTTAAAGTGTAACATTCAGAAAACAAAGATCATGGCATCTGGTCCCATCACTTCATGGCAAATAGCCAGTGGAAACAATGACTATTTTTTTGGACTCCAAAATCTCTGCAGATGGTGACTGCAGTCATAAAATTAAAAGACACTTGCTCCTTGGAAAAAAAGCTATGACTAATCTAGATAGCATGTTAAAAACAGAGACATATCTTTGCCAACAAAAGTCCATCTAGTCAAAGCTATGATTTTTCTAGTAGTCATGTATAGATGTAAGAGTTGGATTATAAAGAAAGCTGAGTGCTAAAGAATCGATGCTTTTGAACTGTGGTGTTGGAGAAGACTTGGACTCCCTTGGACTTGGACTTGGACGTGCTGCAGTTCATGGGGTCACAAAGAGTCAGACATGCCTGAGCAACTGAACTGAACTAAATATATTGTATGTCAAATATACTTTAATAAAAAATAAAAACTAGAGGAAAAAAAACTGGTTGAGGTAAATCCTTAATCACAGCTACAAAGCCCCTTCTGGCATGTAAGGCAACATATTTCCTTAGAACATGGGGCAGGGGAGGAAGGGGAAGGAACACTATTTGACCTACCATGTGCTCCAACAGATGTCGAATACCCATCCTAAACATCAGATAATCCAGTTCCAACCCTGCATCGTGGGGGGCTTTCTCCTGGAAACTGGCTTCTGCTGGTTTGTACGTCCTTTGCAGGCTCATAAGCTGTAGTTTCCTGTGGTGTACTAAGTGAGGGAGTCACAGTGCCAAACCCATATGGACATCACTTCTGCAATATTGTCTCCTCTCTCCTCCTCTCTATTCTTATGGAATTAAATATCTCTTAATCTGTACTCCCATTTTAGTGGAGTTCTGGAAAAGAAAGAAGATAAACAAGTGTGGTCAAGCCTCCATGTTTACCTGATAGTTGTTTTTCATGCAAACCTTTGTTACAGAGTTGTTTGTTTTTATGAAGCCCAGAAGGAAGAGTTTTGGCTGTGCAGTTCAGGCCGGTGACCAGGAAAGAGAACCTGGAAGATTCCCTTGCACTGTAATCTGAGTCACAGAGCTGCTTTTCTGGGAAGGTCTATGCATGACCTACCTGTTACAGGCATTTCTCTGCCCTGCAGAGATAGCTCGTGTGACCTGATGGAAGAGCAAGTGCTCAGGAGTCAGATAGCCTTGTGTTTGTTTCCAACTTTGTGACTTGCCACCTCTGTTACCTTTCTGAGCCTCACTGTCCTCATCTGTAAAGCTGGCACAACAATAACTGATGACTTATTGTGGATCTGGCCCATAGTAAGCTCTCAGCAACTCCTTCCCAGGTGGCTCAGTGGTAAAGAACCCGCCTGCCAATGCAGGAGATGCGGGTTTGCTCCTGGGTCAGGAAGATCCCCTGGAGAAGAAAATGACAACCCACTCCAGAATTCTTGTCTGGGAAATCCCGTGGACAGAGGAGCCTGGTAGGCTGCAGTCCATGGGGTTGCAAGAGTTGGACATGACTGAGCAACTAAATAACAACAACATCAAATGTTAAATGGCTTTCAAGGCAGATCTCCTGGGTGGCCAGAGGTGAGGTGTTGTGCTATATTCAAGACCCTCTACCACACTGACAGCTTCCAGAATCTGTCATCTGTGCCTTGGGCTTTCTCTGGGCTCTTCCCGATTTGTCTCTAAGTGTTGTTGCTCTGACTCTCAACAGTGTGACTCTGCTTCTGTTTTCCCGTTTCCGTGAGGCCTCCAACCCAGCAGCCAAGACAGCCCCTGACCTGCCATGTACCCCAACCCCCTCGTCTACTGCACCTGCTGGGATCCCTGGAACCTGGGGCCACGAAAGCTAATCAAGACCCCTCAGCCACCAAGGAAGACCTCCTCGATGAAGCCCAAGTAAGGATTATCCAGGATGGAGTGTGGCCTGAGGGCTTGGGTTCCGTGGAGTGGGGCAGCCCTCTTTCTCTCACAAGATTTCCAAAACAGTCAGCTTGGCAGCAAAATCCCAAAGCGGCCAGAAAGCCTGGCTTTACTCACCTGTTGGCTGCACAGCCCTCTGGACGGGCCAGCTGGGGTGGAGTGTGCTTTCAGTGAGGAATCTGCAGAGTAAGCCCAGGAGGGACAGGGCCATGGCAGGGGCCCCCCATGCGGGACAAAGAGCTTCTGGAACCAGAGGACCTCAGCCCAGGAGCCCCTGGTCAGCGAACAAGTGCCAGGGCCATCGGCCTGCCGTTCCCCAGACCATCCTGATTATAAAGACTCCCCTTGGCACACCGTGTCTTCCAATTTGGGGTCACTGCGGGGGGCTCCCTTCCCTGAGAGTGCTAAAGCAGGTTTCTGAATTTCCAATTTTCTCTTTGTCATGATTTCCTTTTTCACTGTCAGGCTCTCTCCTCTTCCTCCAGCTGGAAGAAAACAAAATTACGCCCAACCGATAACAAAATCTGTTGTCACCCCAAAGTAAGTGTTTTCACGTCCATGGAACAGGGTCGGTTTGAGGTATGTGAATAAAATAATCTCCCTTCTAGGCCTTTACAACCTGTCCTGACTTGAGGTAACTGCTCCCAAGTGTTGTCAGAGAAATGCCAAAACACACTGGGATTTCCCCCAAACTTCAGCTCCTACAGGTGGATTCTGTGGCCCTTTGCCCTCACTGCTTTCAAATTCACTTCCAAGGAGTTCTTAGCAGGGTGCCCCAGAGAGCCCCTCCCTGCCCTAAAAGCATTGAATGTCCATGCATGTCCTTGACCCAAAGCCTCCCACAGACTTATGGCGTGCACTCATCCTTTTCTTGATGACTTTACTATGTCTAAGGATTTCTGTAGACTGCAGCTCTGTTTTTACTCATCAATTAAAATTTTCATTCACATTTATAAGCTTATCTGGTGTAATTTAGGTTTAGGCCTTTGCATGAAACTTTGTATTCTATTTACTTATTTATTTGGAAACCATTTACTGAGCACCTACTATTTGCTAGACTTTGAGTCAGGTGCAGGGAGACAGCAATGAACACGGCAAAGTCTCTGCTCTCCTGGACTTGCATTCTAGTGGAGAGGGCTGGGGAGATGACCATGAACGTGTAAATCCATCCAAAGTCTGCAAGCACTGTGTGAAAAAACAGTGCAGGCATCGCGAGGAGGGGACAGTGAGGGTGGGGTTGTGATTTTGCAGAGAGAGATCAGGACAATCCCTGGGTAAGAGGTCAGCAGGAACAGCGCTGACCACTGGGGTCCAGCACTCCTGGCCAAGGGAACAGTGAATATGGAGGCCCTGGGTGGGAACTTGCTTGGCACATCTGATGTTTTCCTGGAAAGCAAAGTGGCCCACGTGCGGCCAGTGGAGGAAGGGAGGAGAGAGTGCGGGGACATGAGCTCAAAGAAGCTGCAGAGATGCTGAATGCAGTCCACAGAGTAATAATCACCCCCCTGGCTCCCCGCAGAAGTGCACGTCCTAATCCCTGGAAACCGTCACTTTGTTCTGTTACTTGCTGAGGGGAAAGGAAGGTGGCGGATGGAATTAGGTTGCTCAGCAGCTGATAGATCATGCTGGATTACCCAGGATGTAATGTAAAGGTGGACTTAATATAAAAGTAAAAGGCCTCACCTGTGAAAGAGGAAGTCAGCATGTCAGAGAAGGAGACGCGGCAACAGAAGCACAGGTTGGAGCAATGACTTTGGGCTTTGAGGACAGAGGACAAGGCTACTAGGAGTAGGGGCAGCTTCTAGGAGCTGGAAAAGGCAAGGAAATAGATTCCCAGCAGAGCCTCCAGGAGGAGGACAACCGGACCAACACCTCGATTTTAGCCCAGGAAGACCCATTTCAGACTTTGACTTTAGAACTAAACATAACAAGGTGTTGTTCTAAGCCACTAAATTCATAGTAATTTAGTAATAACAGTAGGAAACCCACAGGGAAGTGTGCTGGCCGCCATAAGAACTTCGATTTTCACTCCAAAAGGGATGGTGTGTTCACTGCTGGGGTCACCATAACAAAAACCACAGACTAAGAGGCTTAAGCAGCAGAAATTTATTGTCCCATAGTTCTGGAAGCTGGGAGTCCAGGATCAAGATGCTGGCAGGGTTGACCTCTGGTGAGGACTCTCTCCTTGGCTTGCAGGTGGCTGCCCGCCTGCCACCCCTAACCGGGTCTCTGCTTTGTGCGTGCACATCCAGGGTTCTCACTGTGTGTGCTAAGCTCTCTTGCAAGAATACCAGGAAAATGGCATTAGTGCCCACCTTCATGGCCTCATTTTAACTCAGTCACTTCTTTAAAGTTCATAAATCCAAATACAGTCACATTCTGGGATGGCAGGTGTTAGGATTTCAATATGGTGAATTATGGGAGGGACACAATTTAGTCCATAACACGTAGGAAGCCATCTGAGGATTCTGAGAAGAGCGACACAGTCCGACTTGCGCTGCTTGCCGCCATAGCAGAATAGTCACTCTTATTCGACTCTTCCAACATCCCGGGTAAGCGCCCCTGTAAACACTCTTATGACATTTGAATACCTGACGCTATGCTCATGTTTCTGTATCTGGAAAAAAATAGTAATTATAATCAGGGTTAACACCAGCTCTCAGAACAGTAACACTTTGCTTACCCTGAATTTATTTAACCCTGGGCACGTTCAGGTTCCCAGACACCAATTTCCAGTGCAAACAGGAAGAAAGGCAGTCGTGCAGACACAGCAAGGATGTCACTAAAAAGCATGTGCATCGAAGCTTAGGCACCGGCTCATAGGAGAGTGCTTGGATCTTCATATGAAGTTTCTAAGCCCTTGTTTTAGGAATGGTTCTACTATTAGGCTAGTGATGGATTGATTTCCTACTTTTTTACTACTTATCATTTCATCACAATCTGTGTACCAACCTTCCTTTTTTCCCCGACTGCTTTCTGAGCATGCCTTTCTCTTACAGAATGAAAGTCCATTTAGGAAAACAAGAGGACAGCAATAAATTACCTAATGTGAGTAAAACTGGGAAGAGGGCAGTGGGGCTGACATTTATTGAGACCCACTATGTGAAGACAGATCTTTTACACACACTCACCTCCTCGAATCTGTTCAATGATCCCCTAAGGAGCATCTATCAAGATCACATCTAATGTGTTGCTGGTGAGGGGTAGAACCAGGACTTGAACTCAGCTCAGCTGGATCCTAAAGAAGGCATTAATTACCACTTTCTGCTGCCTTGTAGGGTGTAGGGTGAGGCGAGTCTCCCACAGAAACTGGATGGTGGCAATCAGTCCGGGCCAGGGAACAGCTTAAGCCCAGATGCAGGAAACTCTCTGCTGCACTTGGGAACCCACAGACCACCAGGGCACCTGGGAGGAGCCGGGATGGGAGGATGAGATGAAAGGAGCAGGGACAGGGGGGTGCTGGAGAATGAGATGGGACCGCACCCAGAAGGACGTGACACCTGCCTCAAATTTAGACCTAGTTCTCTTGGTGTCTGGGAGCCTTTAGGGGTCTGACACAGGTCAGGTTTACATTTTTAGAAAATGCCCTCCAGTGGTGTTTTATTGGCCCTTTTTACACTCTCTGCTTATATCTATTTTCCTTGCCTCTCTTCCCCTGCTCCGCCTCTCTTGTATGAAGATCACACAGTCTCTTAATGGTCAGGAAAAAAGATAAACAAAAATACAATAGCCCTCTAGGTGGAGAGGATGATGAACTTAAGGGGAGCCAGGCTAAAGGCAGAGAGGCCAACTGAGAAGAGATCAGCAGAGCCAAGGAGCGAGATGACAGTGGCCTTGGACCACATGAGGGGCAGCGGGGTGGTGAAGAGAGGATGAGGTTGAGGTAGAGTTAGGAGATAACAGATGCCACAGGGTGTCCTGCACAACTCACGACAGCACATCTGGGACTAGCCCTGTGGTCCAGTGCTTGAGAATTCACCTTGCAATGCAGGGGTGTGGGTTCGACCCCTGGTCAGAGAGCTAAGATCCCATAAGCCTTGGGGCCAAAAAAAAACCAAAACGTTAAACAGAAGCGATATTGTAACACATTCAATAAAGACTTTTTTTAATTAAAAAAAAAAAGAAAGAAAGACCACATCAAAAAATCTTTTAAAAAGAAGATCGTGCATCTTCTCCTGGTCCACACTGGTTGGTAGCCCTGCCCAGATGGATGATTGGGTGGAACCGACCAGAAATTTGAGTTTTGTTTTGTTCGCAATTGTGCTAGGTATTTTCTCATGTGTTATTTTGTTTATTCGTCAAAAAAGCCCTTTGATGAAGAGTTATTATCTTCATTTTCTGGTAAGCAAACTGAAGCTCAGAGATGCTGAATAATTGTGGCTAGTGGCAGAGCCAGGATTTAAACTCAGGCCCATCTAATTCCAAAACCTGAGCAGCGTCCACAACGCCCAGCCGCCGCCTGGCATCTGGAAGGAGAATGCAAAAGAGGAGCAGGGTTCAAAGGCAGAGCGGGCAGCAGGGGTCAGCGTTTGGGTTTTGCACATGTTGGGTTTGAGAAGCCTATGGGGACACCCAGGGACCAGCTGAGTCTTGCAATTTGGTTTCAGGAGAGAGGAAACTGGGGGAGGCTACAGGGGAACACCCCACCTCGTGGGTCTAAGATGTGAGTAAGGCCCTAGAGGAATACTGGAGCAATCCCAACACTCCAAGTCTGCAATATGACCTTGCCTTCCACCTTGATGCCCAGGAAGTGATAGATGTGTCACCTGGCTACCGCCTCATTCGGAACAGGGAGCGGATTTCTGTCACCTTGGGAGATGAGATGTTTGATAGGGAAAAACATTCAGAATCGGAGAACATGGAAAAAGTCAAAATTTCCAGGTAATGTCCTTGAACTCCCTCCAGCTCCCCAGGCTTCCCTCTGTCCCAAGGACAAACCCTCAGTTGATGCCCAGCCCACAGTGTCCCTTGGCTCAGCCCTGTGCTGGCGCCTCTCTGCACCCACCTCCCTGCTCAGAGCCCACTGGAGTCAGGGGGATGGACGGACAAGTCAGGCAGCTGATCTGGAAAATGACTGGGTTGCTGTCACTCATCCTAAAGGGGAGTAGTTGTTCCTGAAGGTAATGAGTAGATGAGATACTCATACAATGGTCTGAATTCGAAGAATGAGAACTAAGAGTAAAGTCAGGACTTCTGGGAGGCCTGAGTCTGCATCTTTTTCCTTATGTCCAAAGATAACACTCACTAATGCCTCTGAGAGATGCGGTGTGTAAGACTCTGGCCTGATTCCATTCCATTTGAGCCTATGCCACCCCCTCTCCAGGACCATATAAAGTCAGTCCCCACATCTTTTTCATTCTACTTCCTGAATCTCTAACTCATATCTCCTCTTCCCCCATCTCCTCCTACATCCTCTCTTCTTTTCTCGACCTATTGAATCAAGGACCTCATCTCTGCTGCACTGCCTGCCACCCTGTTTACTCCAGCTCAACCAAAGAGAGCTGAGTAATCTTACAGATTTCATGGAGGCCCAAGAATCACAAACATCCATAATCTATTCTGAAAGCCACACTCTAAAATCCCTTCTTTGTCCTGTTTCCAGCCCATTCCTTGTCTATGAAGACCATTCAGGTCTTCCCTGGTGGCTTAGTAAAGAGTCTGCCAGCAAAGCGGGAGACCTGGGTTCAATCCCTGAGTCAGGAAGGTCCCCTGGAGGAGGAAATGGCAACCCACTCCAGTATTCTTGCCTGGAGAATTCTGTGGACAGAGGAGCCTGGTGGGCTACAATCCTTGGGGTCACAAAGAGTTGGACAAAACTGAGTGACTAGCACTTTCACTTTTACTTTCTTCCAGAAATGCAAAAATCCATAAGCTATTCTGAAAGCCACTCTCTTAAGTCCCTTCTTTGTCCTGTTTCCAGCCCATTCCTTGTCTATGAGTCACAGTCAGCGTCAATTCTATTCCCCCCAACTCATTTCCTAATCCTCTGAACATCTCCCTCCTCCATTTCAACTATCTTTACTGAGTCAAGGTGAAAGCCTAATAGATTTCTGACATCCTCCTCTTTCTCTTCTAATCTAGTGAGTCACCAAACTACCCCTACTCGCTTTTGGCCAGTCTACCCAAAAGGGCTGTCTGTGTCTGAGATCAACAATCCTACTGCCAAATTTCCTTCTCCCAGCCCACCCTCTGCCTCTGCACCCCCACCCCATGATGATGGAGGAAGTGCAGAACACAGCCTAGCTCTCACCAGGCCAGAGCCAGCCATGCTCAGGGAGGGTCCTGGAAGCCTGGAAGCTCTGTGGGTAATGGGCTACTTGTCCCGCAGGACTGATATCATTGCTGACCTCAAAGAACAGATCTCAGAGTTGACAGTGATCATAGAGCAAATGAACAGAGACCATCGTTCTGCCCAAAAATTGGTGAGTGTTCCTTGAGTGAGCAATGGGAAGGGGAAAGACCGATAGCTTCAGATGACCTGCTATGTTCCAGACAAGAGGCCAAGTCCCTGACTCATGGGAGCTAGGTTGCCCAAGCAACAGCTCTGCAGATAAGACTGTGGTCACCCCATCATATTTCCCTGACTCTATCCTCATCCATAATTGCCAAGAACTCAAGTCCTTCCTCTAATTGTTGTTCAGTCGCTCAGTCATGTCTGACTCTTTGTGACCCCATTTATCTGCAGCATGTCAGGTTTCCCTGTCCATCACTATCTTCTGGAACTTGCTCAAACTCATATCCGTTGAGTTGATGATGCCACCAAACCATCTCATCCTCTGTCGTCCTCTTCTCATCCTACTATCAATCTTTCCCAGCATCAGGGTATTTTTCAATGAGTTGGCTCTTCACATCAGGTGGCCAAATTATTGGAGCTTCAGCATCATTCCTTACAATAAATATTCAGGGTTGATTTCCTTTCAAGACTGGTTTGATCTTCAGGCCTAAGTCAATTTCCAGGAGCTCCCTGGGCATCTCTGGCATGCTCAGTGCCACTATCTTTTCCACTAGGAAAGAAAGAAAGTGAAGTCCCTCAGTCGTGTCCAACTCTTTGAGACCCCATGGACTGTAGCCTACCACGCTCCTGCATCCATGGGATTTTCCAGCCAAGGGTACTGGAGTGGGTTGCTCCACTAGGGGGCACCAGCTATTTCCACCAAAGCCCACTATGCCCTGTTCAGTGAGTTTAATTTCAGACCTTGCTGAAACTCTTGCTAATGGCACCAGTGTGACCAGTACTTCAGTTTCACTCAAAAACTGCCCAGAAGCCTCCAGTCCCACTTCCTGTTGCTGTTGAAACTGCTAAAGCCCACCCTCCAGAATCTGCTGATTTCAGTTTGCACTCTTTGTGTCTCCTGAGGACTGTGGTGACACTCCCGTTAGATCTTACCATCTGCTTTATCACGGACTCTTCTTCCCCACCCCAAGCAGAGGTGCCTGGTGTCCTGAGCTGGAGTGACAAACCAGAGCGACACTTAGATCTCTTCCCCATCTGCTCATTTCCCCTCTACCCCCAACCTGCGCCACGCTTGCTGTTACTGGAACCCACGTGTGAAGGGTGACTTCCCAGCAGGCAGCCCCTCACCTTCTGACACACCCCAGATGTGTCTGAATCCTACAGTGACCCAGCTTAGGACTCAGGCTGAGACCTTCCCTTCTGGTGATTCATCCCTGTATTTCTCTGAAAACCCTGTTTTTGTGGTCACCTTCTACAGAGAGGAAATTGAGACTCAGGAAGTTAAATAATTTGCATGAGATCACTCAACTCATCCTTGGTGGGTTCTTGGGCAAAACACACGCTTTCAAAACACCAGCCCTACTGAAGATATATTTAGAGATTATTTCGATGGAGGGATTTCACATTGTGATTCTTGCATTCCTCCTGTCACACCCCACATTGTTGTGTGACTGCACAGCGGGGAGAAGTGCTGGCCCCCCAACCCTTGTCCCAGCTGGCAGAGTCCACTCCTCCTGAGACACCAGCCAGAGGCCCCAGTGTAGTAGAACAGAGGGTCACCAGCGTCTGAGTGCTCCCTGCCTCTGGAAACACAGTCATTCTGCCAAGGATTTCTTAACATGGTCTTTAAGTTCATCGAAGACAGGGCCTGAGTCTTAGGCCTGTTTGACTTTTCCAGGTCAAGCCTTTTGCACAATAAATGATTGCTAGATTGAGTTACATATCCCCAAATCCAAAGGCCATGACCTTATAAAGCTTACATCCAGCCAAAGAGAAAAAACCTGCCCAAAAGTCAGTAAAAGGAATGATTTCCATGCACCAACATCATGAACTGATTTCATACCAAATGACATAGAGGCAAGAATTGTTTCATTCCTTCAGTAACTATGTGGGAGAGGTAAGGGCAGTTGGGGGTACCCCATGAATGGGAAGGTTTTTCAGAAGTTGCAAGTTGAAGTGGGAGTGGGGTCCTCATTCCTGTCTTGTTAACACTTGCCTGGCCTCATTTCCAGCTCTCTAATGAAATGGATCTCCGTTGTGCCGAGATGCAGAAGAACTTTGAAAGCAAGACGAGGTATGCTTTCTGGCACAAGTTCCTGTGCCCTAAGGGTCCTGCATCCTTGTAGGGTTTCAGTTCACTGGGATTTCAGACAGTGGGGTGGCAAGGGGTGGGGGAGATGAGAGACATGTCTTTGGAGAGTAGAATGGTTTGATCTGAGGCCACTGAAATAGCAGAGAGGTTATTCCTGACTTTGCACTTTATAATCCAGTTATTTCAATTATAATCTCCCTCTCAGTTGATTGCTAAGAAGAAACCATTTTCAGTTCTCTATGAGGTTTCTATTGTTTTCAGCCCAGTCTCTCCCTGCCCCCCTCCTCTTCCTCCCCTCTCCTCTACTGTCTTGGCTGCGAGCTCAAGTCTGGGTAAAATGGGAAGAAAGTACGGGAAGGCAGGAGCCAGAGCTGAGAGATAAACCAAGGGGAGGAAAAAGGAGATGTGCTGTCTGTGTGAATGAGAAGACCCACAAAGTCCCTTTCTTAGTCTTGCTGGAGAGAAGTCCTCATAGGTGTTGCAAACTTGCTTTTAATTTTTTAATATTAATTAATTAGCTTATTTATTTTATTAATAGACTATTTTTCAGGTTCACAGTAAAACATAAAGTACAGAGAATTTCCACATACCCCCTGGCCCCACACCTGCACAAGCTTTGTCATCATTGACATCCTGCCTCACCACCATGGGGCATTTGTTACAATCAATGAGCCTACTCCCAAAGTCTTAGTTTATGTTAGGGTTCATTCCTTTTTTTCCTTTTGGCTGCACTGGGTTTTCATTGCTGCATGTGGGCTTTCTCTAGTTGCAGTGAAAGAGCCTCTCTGGTTGTGGTACTTGACCTTGATTTCCCCAAAACATGGGGGATCTTAGTTCCTCGACCAGGGATTGAACCCATGTCCCCTGCTTTGGAGGCAGATTCCCAACCGTTGGATCATCAGGGAAGTCACTCTTGATACTGCAGATTCCATGGGTTTTGATAAATGCTTAGTGTCATGTATCCACCATTACAGTATCATACAGAATAATTTCATTGCCCTAAAAATCCTCTTGGCTCTGCCTGTTCACTGCTGTCTCCCCACTAACCTCTAGAAACCACTGATCTTTTGACCACTTCTGTAGATGTGACTTTTCCAGAATTTCATATAGTTGGAATCATACAGCCTGTAGGCTTTTCAGACTGACTTCTTGTACTTACCAGTATGCATTTAAGGTTCCTCCAGGTCTTTTCTTGGAATGACAGCTCCTACAGCCTTGTATTTTAAAGCCCTTCTTGAACACTGCCAGCATCTGCCTCCTGGAATGGAGCCTGGCAAGAACCTAGGCTCTAAAATTATCCTGGGTGTTAATCAGCTCACAGTTTCTTTGCTGTAAGCAAAGACCCTGTTGTTCGGGGTAGTCTATGGCCCCCCCAGTGACTCCATTCAAAATAGTGGATGGTGAAAACAGAGGTCTCCTCAACCGTTTCTGGATGGATGCCAGAAGAATGTGTCAGCAAGTGAGGGCCCCGCTGCCGGCCCACCAGCTGCCTGCATGAGGAGGGGAGCTGAGATCAGGTGGACCTCCCACGGGTGACTGTGGCCTTCTCCTGGGGCCCCACAGGGAGCTCAAGGAAGCTCACACAGCACAGCTCAGTGAGTTGGAGAAATACTACAAAGAAGCCTTGAAGGCAGAAAAGTTGGCTGCCCAGGACAAACTAGGTAAGGCTTTGGGAGATGACCCTGGTAAGGGGGCAGAGGCTACCATGCAGGTCAAGGGCAAAGGAATTCCTGTGGCCATGGGTGCACTCTGGCTAGACTTTCAAAGTTTCCTTCTAAAGTCCAGGAAGAGGGAGTGACTGAGAATGAAACTGAAAAAGGGAAACCATGTCAACAAACAACCTCTCTACTCCGAGAAGTTAGAAGGGTCTGCAGCCAAGTTTTGGGGTTTGAACAAGTCCCTTCATCTCCTTGAGTCTCCCTACCTGGGAATTGAGGACTATAATACCTGCCTTTATCACAGTGGTAAGAATATGAAAGCACTTTAAAAAATATATTTAAAAGTTCTACAAATGTAATACTATTCCAATTCAGCAAGTTTCCTCACTGATAAAATGATGGTGCTTCATCAAATGCTAACAGGCACACCATGATTTGCATGACCTTCTAACCTATAAGGGTTGTGTGGGCCACTTATCCCATTGTTTATGCTGCCCTTGGGAAGGGCAAAGTGCGTATCATTCAGAATTCTGAGTTTACAGAGCAATCTCTACAGGGAGAAGGAGAAATTCTTCCCTTTTTATTATATATTTTTAAAAGATGATATTAGTATTAATACCTTGCCAGTTTTCTAATTTTCTAAAGAAAAGATTTTTGTTTTAAATAAAAGATCATTGTTTTCAAAACCAGGATACACTAGGAGTGTTATTTAAAAAAGACAGACGGTTTTGCTTCTCTTTTGCCCTCAGTTGTAGGTTTGCCACCAGGGATTAGTTCTCAGATTTGGGGGTGCCTCAGAATCACCTGACATCATATTATCAACAGATACTGTGTCTTGCCTCTGAGACCTTGACTCAGTGGGTTCAGGGTGGGGTCCAGGCATCTGATTTCTGATGAGCTTCCAGTATGACTGCTGAGGCAGCACCACAGTTTCACCGCTGATGGGATGAGTTTAAGGTGTGGATGGTGTGCAGGAGGGCTCTCACATGAATTTGAGATCATGAATTTCAGAGGAATAATGATGACTCTACTCTTGTTTTCCTTTTGTTCTCAGAGGAGATGGGAAAAGAATATAAATATTTGAAGAATATGTTTCATATATATCAGGTGAGATTCAGAGCTCCTTGGTGGATTATGAGAGAAAAGCAAGGCTCATTGTTGGCTGGTGATGTTGAGATGAATCTAGAGCGCTTGCCTGGAGAATAATTTCCTGAAATCCCCAGTATCCTTGAACCTAAGTGGCCCTCACTGCACCCAGGGAGAAAACTGAACCTATGGGCTTTTATGGCTTCCTTGCAGGACAATTTGGCCTCTGGACCCTAAAAGAGTCCATTGATGAATATGTTTGTCATGACCAAAGTAATACATGCTCGTTGTTGTTGTTTTTTTTAAAGAAATTCAAAAATCAACAACAGCAACAGCAAAAAGAACTATCGCCACTCTAAAGAAAACCATTCTTTAAGATCTGTACTTTGTAATATCTTTAATTTTAGCAGAACACTGGGTCAAAAGGAATAAATATTTGAAAGGCCTTTGACACATTTGACCAAATTGCCATCCAAAAAGGCTGTATCACTCTGCACTAACTTCAGCAAGTGGAGCAGGGGGCACCCCAGAACATAGCCCTTCCATTTCGTCAGCTAATTTGACGGAAGCCCAGGAAGCCAGAATTAGGACACAGTTTCATTCTAGGGGGATGAGAGAGTAGGAAATAGGAAGTGGACAGGGGAAGGGCTGGGACAGCAAGCCCCTACTATGGGTCCTGGGTGGCCAGGGACTTCCCAGTTTTCAGCCTTGATAGTCTAGAGTCCCAGGAAACAGCTCAGTCCCAGGCAAACAAGGACAGTTGATTAAAACAACTAACATCTTGACATTTCTCTTGTTTTCTACTGTGCTATTGATGAGTAATTCATGATTCAGAGGGAGCTGACATGAACACATGCGGTGTGCTCAACTGCCTGTCTTCAAAGGAAGCCCCATTCCAATAGGGCAAACGCCATGCAGAGTCTGCTTTGATCTTTAGGGTCTTGGGTCCCAGGGCTGGAATCATCGCCCACCAGTTAATGCACGGAGGCCCACAGCCAGGGGCTCTGGTGAGGGAAGCTGCGGAGAGCTCAGTCCTGAGCCGCAGGCTGGGGTGCAGCCTTTCAGGATGCTTTTCTTCATGCCTTTGCCCCCCCCCCCCCCACAACAGGACAGCATTTATGATGAAATGGAGGACAAGTGGTCAAAGAAGAAGGCAGAGTGGGAGAAGGATGAGAAGGTGGAGCGGGAGAGGATACTGTTGCAGCAAAGTGAGTTCAGAAACCTTGGACTTTTTGATGCCAGGAAACTGGCATTACTGTTGACCTCCGCTCGAGGAAGCAGGGCTTGGGGTCATGAAAGATAATGTGCTGCAGGGCTGGACTTCAAGAGACTTTCAGAAAGTACAAGGATGGAGTCTTTTAGGGCGTTTAACTACCTGAGGGACTAAACCGTACCATCCAGAACTCTCTGGTTGCAAGTTTGGCAATCACGAGCTGGACTGAGCTTGGGGACATCTGTAGGATTGCAGACTTGTCCGAAGTTCCAGAAAAAAAAGGCTCTTGAATTAGCTTCAAATACTCACTTTTTGGGAGAGGGGCTATACAATCCATTACATGGAGAGTCTTCATACTCCCATGTCCCCTCCAAAGGAAGCCATTGTTGATGTATTTTCAATTGAGGTATTTTTTAAGATAAAGTGTACAGCATGTTGATTTGATATATTCATATATTGCTGTGCATTCTTAACATTTCCAACATTTGGCACAGAGCCTGGATCACACTAAGTGCCCTATAGGAGACTCTCCTACCGGCACTGAGCTTTTTCATAAATGGAAAAAGGAGAGGGAAATCTCTGAAGATTCTGCTTCCTGACCTAGAGGACTAGTTGAGGCAGAAGTGGGGCCTCTATAAACTTATTCCACATCCTGCTGCTGCTGCTAAGTCGCTTCAGTCGTGTCCGACTCTGTGCAACCCCATAGACGGCAGCCCACCAGGCTCCCCCATCCCTGGGATTCTCCGGGCAAGAACACTGGAGTGGGTTGCCATTTCCTTCTCCATTCCACATCCTAGCCCAACCCAATTCAGATCTTATTTAGCTGACTTTAACAAACTGCTCATTAAATGCGGATACTCCCTGGGAAAGGTCGTCCTCAAGTCCCTTCCCTCCCTGGATTACCAGGAGATAGCATGAAGACCCTGGAGTCAAGGCTGGGGAATGGGGCATGGGGGCTGCTCCTGCTTGAGACTTTCCTGGAATCTTGGTGAAGCATAGCCCAGGTCGTTGGAGAAGGCAGTGGCACCCCACCCCAGTACTCTTGCCTGGAGAATCCCATGGACGGAGGAGCCTGGTGGGCTGCAGTCCATGGGGTCACTGAGAGTCGGACACTACTAAGCGACTTCACTTTCACTTTTCACTTTCATGCATTGGAGAAGGAAATGGCAACCCAGTCCAGTGTTCCTGCCTGGAGAACCCCAGGGACGGGGGAGCCTGGTGGGCTGCCGTCCATGGGGCCGCGCAGAGTCGGACTGACTGACGCGACTTAGCAGCAGCAGCTCAGGTCGTTGCCCAGATTCCCAACTACTCATACTACAACGATGCCATGTTGTCAAACTCTATGCTAAGATGCTACAACCGGTTTTGGAAGACCAGATTTTAGCCATTCACAGTGTGCCTCAGTCCAGACTTACCTTGTGATCCCAGGGTTTGCCTCCCTACCCAACCCCAGCACCACGATGCTGAAGAAGAGATTTGCGTGAGACCTTCACCTGTCCACCACCCTGTTTAGTATTGCAGTTCTATTGGCAGCTCTCCCAGCCCCTCAAAATGATTTAAGCCTGGCTCTGCCTCAGGGCTAAGTGCAGAATACATTTTATTGCTGGAAAAGTCATGTTAACCAAGAGCTGCATTTTAGGATTCAAGTATCAAGAAAACATAGCGATTACTCCAGCAGAGGCAACGGGCAAAATAATAAGTAACGGATCCAAAATAAACTACACAAAAAGAACCAGAGGTATTAAAAATAAGGGGCTTCCCAGGTGGTGCTAGTGGTAAAGAACCCACCTGCTAATGGAGGAGACATGAGACACAGGTTTGATCCCTGGATGGGGAAGATCCCCTAAAGGAGGGCATGGCAACCCACTCCAGTATTCTATTCTTGCCTGGAGAATCCCATGGACAGAGGAACTTGGCAGACTACAGTCCATAGAGTCACACAGAGTCAGACATAACTGAAGCAACTTAGCAAACTTGCATGCACTAGAAGTAAATCCCATACGGCTGATGTGATGGAGAACCATCGCCATATTCACCTCGTTCTCAGGCATCTCCAGGTGAGCATCAGAGGTTAAACACCAGGCTGAAAGGAACTTGCGTTTGACCCAGCCTGGAATTTCTACTATCTTCAGATATTCTGGTTTTCTTTGTGGTCTATTTTTCCCACATTTACCCATATATGTGATTTCCTCATCTCCACAGAACATAAGATAACCAGAAAGTTTGAGTTAGAATCAGAAGAAGAAAGGAAGAAAATAAACGAGTCCTACACAGCTATCTTTGAGAACTTCAATCAGGAGAAGGAGGTAACTCAGTGCAAACATATATCAGTGGTTGAATGTGCAGTCTGGGTGGGATGTCCAGTTCGCAGGGGTGCCTCTGTAATGAGGCAAACTCTTTGTGTTTGGGGGTATGGTCCTCCTTTTCCAGCTTCCCTGGAAACTTCTGCAAGCAGACTGTCATTTTGTGCTTCTTTATCTAGACAGTCTTACCACAGGATTATTGGAATGAAAATTGTAATTTATAGGAAATAATAGAATGTTAAAACATATACAAAGCCCACAATTCCCTATTTGCCAAAATATCAGTCTGAATGATCTTCTCACCCTTGACTGTAACTGAAGAGAAATGGCAGTGTTGCAAACTGAACTGAGCAAGTCTGGACACGTACAACTCATGTTTGATGAGTTTTGACAAACATGTTCATCCATGTAGTGGAGTCAAGTATTGCTCGGTCATGTTCAACTCTTCTCGACCTCATGAACTATAGTCCACCAGACTCCTCTGACTACTGGCGAGACTACTGGAGGGGGCAACTACTCCCTTCTCCAGGGGATCTTCCCAACCCAGGGATGGAATCCAGGTCTCCCGCATTGCAGGCAGCTTCTTTACCATCTGAGCCACCAGGAAAGCCCCATGTAACCAACATCCAAATCAAGACCTAGAACATTTCATCAACCCAGAAAGCATGCCTGTGCCCCTTTGCGGCTAACCCCTATCTACCTCAAAACCTGCCCCAAGACAACCACTCTTTTTATTCATCTAACTATAGATTTAGTTCAGTCTAGTTCAATTGCTCAGTCATGTCCAGCCCTTTGCAACCCCGTGAACTACAGTACACCATACTTCCCTGTCCATCACCAACTCCTGGAGCTTTCTCAAACTCATGACCACTGAGGTGGTGTTGCCATCCAACCATCTCATCCTCTGTCATCCCCTACTCCTCCCACCTTCAATCTTTCCCAGCATCAAGGTCTTTTCTAAGGAGTCAGTTTTTTTGCATCAGGCGGCCAAAGTATTGGAGTTTCAGCATCAGCATCAGCCATTCCAATGAATATTTAGGACTGATTTCCTTTACGATTGACTGGTTTGGCTCCTTGCAGTCCAACAGACTCTCAAGAGTCTTCTTCAACACCACAATTCAAAAGCATCAATTCTTCAGCGCTCAGCTTTCTTTCTTTTTTTTTTTTCATTTTTACTAAACTTTTTTTTTCCATTTATTTTTATTAGTTGGAGGCTAATTACTTTACAATATTGTAGTGGTTTTTGCCATACATTGACATGAATCAGCCATGGATTTACATGTGTTCCCCATCCCAATCCCCCCTCCCGCCTCCCTCTCCATCCCATCCCTCTGGGTCATCCCAGTGCACCAGGCCTGAGCACTTGTCTCATGCATCCAACCTGGGCTGGCGATCTGTTTCACCCTTGATAGTATACTTGTTTCAATGCTGTTCTCTCAGAACATCCCACCCTTGCCTTCTCCCACAGAGTCCAAAAGTCTGTTCTGTACATCTGTGTCTCTTTTTCTGTTTTGCATATAGAGTTATCATTACCATCTTTCTAAATTCCATATATATGCATTAGTATACTGTGATGGTCTTTATCTTTCTGCTTACTTCACTCTGTATAATGGGCTCCAGTTTCATCCATCTCATTAGAACTGATTCAAATGAATTATTTTTAATGGCTGAGTAATATTCCATGGTGTATATGTACCACAGCTTCCTTATCCATTCATCTGCTGATGGGCATCTAGGTTGCTTCCATGCGCTCAACGTTCTTTATGGTCCAACTCTCACATCCATACGTGACCGCTCGAAAAACCACAGCTTTGACTAGACGGGCCTTTGTCAGCAAAGTATCGTCTCTGCTTTTTAATATGCTATCTAGGTTAGTCATAGCTTTTCTTCCAAGGAGCAAGTGAATAGGTGAAACAACGATAGATTAGTTTCACCTGTTTTTAAACTGCATATAAATAGAATCATACACTATATGTGCTTTGTTGTGTAGCTTCTTTCCCCTCAATTATTTCTGTGAAATTTATCCATTCATTGTTCTTATCAGTAATTTCTTCCTTTTATTGCACAGTAGTATTTCTTTGTAAGAATATAACACAATGTGTTCACCATTTTTCTGTTTTTGGAGATTTTTGTTGTTTCTATTTTTTTCTTTTTACAAACAAAGCTTCGATAAATAACTTGTGTAACTATTCTTGTAGACTTATGCTCTCCTTTCTCATGGGTATATACCTAGATGTGTTGTTACTGGACTATAAGGTAGGGATAGGTTTAACTTTATAACAAAGTACTAAGATATTTTCCACAGAAGCTGTGCCATTTTCCTCTTGCATCTCAACTATATGAGAATGCCAGTTATTCTATATCATCAACAATTAATATTACTAATCTTTTCCTTAAGAAGCTTTTTTTAAAATTTTGTGTTTTGGTTGCACCATGCATCTTTGTTCCCTGACCAAGGATTGAACCCAGGCCCTCAGGCCCTCAGTGAGTGTGGAGTCTTAACTACTAGACTGCCAGGGAATTTCTGAGTATTGCCGATCTTTTAATTTTGGCTATTTCAATGGGTATGACCCTGGAGGAGGGCACAGAAACCCACTCCAGTATTCTTGCCTGGAGAATCCCATGGCCAGAGAAACCTGGCAGGCTACAGTTCATCGGATTACAAAGAGTTGGACATGACAGAATCTGAGCACAGCACAGCTCAGCAATAAGTATAAAGTGTTATTTCATTATTATTTTAGTTTCCCTGATGACTAATTATGTCAGGCAAATTTTCATATGCTTATTGGACCATTTATATGTCTTCTTTTGTGAAGTTTGGTTCAAGTTTTTGCCAGTTAAAAAAAAATTGTGTTATTTACCTTTTTATAGTTGGTATGTAGGAGTACTTTTTATACTATGGATACAGTTTTTTGTCAGATATACATGCTGTGAATTCTGTGGTTTGCCTTTTCATTTTGCTCACATTGTCTCTCCACATGCAAAAGTTTTACTGTCAAAGAAAAGTTGGTTATCGACTTTTTCCTCGTCTGGTAATAGCTTTTTGTGTCCCCTGTGAAACTGTTGCCTATTCCAAGACCATGAAGATATTCTAGTTTTTAAAAAGTTTCATAACTTTAGCATTTATGATTCTGTGATCTATTTTGAATAATTTTTTGGGGTATGGAACAAGTTAAAGATTTTAGGTCACCTTTTACATATTGATATTCATTGTTTCAGAATTATTTGTTGAAAAAAATGTCCCTTTCTCCATTAAGTTACCTTGATGTCTTTGTTGTATTTGAGGGGGTAGGGGGCAAACTCTCCATTCTGCTGCATTCAACTATCTGTCTATATTTAGGCCAACAAAACAATGTCTTAATTTCTGTAGCTTAAAATCAGGGAGAAAAAAAATCTTCCAACTTTGGTCTTGCTTTTCAAGGTTATTTTGGTTCTTCTGCAGCCTTTGAATTTCTATATAAATTTTATAATTATCTTGTCAAGAAAGCCTAGTGGTATTTTAAGTGGGATTGCAATGAATGTAAAGCTCGGTCTGTGGAAAATTGGATATTTAACAGCATTAAATCTGTACCCTAACAAAAGGAAACTCTTTAATGAAAATATGATTGCTTTTAATATTTCTTGATACACTAAGGTTGAGTCTGAGTAAGATTTTCATCATTTAACTTCAACATGTCATGTCACTACTTTATAATGCCTGCTTTATTAAAGCAACATCTGAGCTTTGGTGAATATTGCATTCCTGAATCCTATTCTGGCTTTCTTAATTTTCTGAAAGAAGTGCCAGAACCCTAGTTGCTGACCTTTTCTAAATAAAATTCTTTTTAGGAGCTCTTAAAACAACATGAAAGGGATACCTTGCAATTAGAGGAGCTTAGAAAGACAAAAGAGGTAAGCTTTTTCATTTTTCCTGTGAAATTAGCCTCTTACAAATATATTGCTAAAATGATACACTCTCAATAAAATGGAATCTATGATAATTTCCCCCAAACCATTGAAAAACGAAAGAGCTAAAGCTGAGTTAGGGCTTCCCCAGGGCTCAGCGGTAAAGAATCTGTCTGTAGTTTGGGAGCCACAGGAGACACGGGTTCAATCCCTGGGTCAGGAAGATCCCCTGGAGGAGGAAATGGGAACCCACTCCAGTATTCTTGCCTGGAGAATCCCATGGACAGAGGAGCCAGGCCAGCTACAGTCCTTGGGGTCACGAAGAGTCAGACATGACTGAAGTGACTTAGCACACATACACACAAAGCTGAGTTTGCTGGATTCACTGTCAAAAAGGATTTTAGAACTATCTGAAAAAAGAAAGCCATTGCTGTCTTTTTAGAGCGAGATCTGAACAAATATATGAACAATATACTGTGAGATCTTCAGCGTTAAATGCCTTCCACTTCTCACAAGGCTTTAACAACAAGTGAGCCTTAAACAGTAAAATGCCAGATTCTTCCATCAGACTCTGAAAAGTACAATACTGCCTCTTGGGAACTCTGACTCCAAGCCTTTCCTTAAAACTCTGAGTGTATTTACCTCACCCCCACAGCCTCTCTAGGAACTTTTTTTCTGGAACAAATTATAGCACTTCCATAAAGGACATATCAGAAGGGAAATTGTTCAAACCCACAAACTGCCTCGTGGTTCTTCTTCCACTGTGAATCTAATTTGAATCCAGAATGGGCCAGTGTGGGAAAAGACTAGCCATTCTGAAAGCATGGCATGACATCGTAGAGCCCAGGCAGGACTTCGGCTTTGTTGGGCAAACAGTCATAACGTCCTTCAAGGTAAAGGGGTGGACTCTGGTATGAGGTGGACTCAGTGTGCTGTGAGAATGGTTTTAACGAGCTTGACTACTAAGCCTATCATTGTGTCATTGCTGGGTCTATTTCAATTAATTTATTTTGCTCCTCATGTATGGTCATATTTTCTTGCTTAATTTTTTTATTGGATGCCAGCCATTATGACCTTTACCTTCCTAGGTGCTGAATATTTTTGTACTCCTTTAAATACCATTAACCTTTGTTCTGGGATTCAGTTAAGTTACCTGGAAATGGGCTTCCGTGGTGGCTCAGTGGTAAAGCATCTGCCTGCCAATGCAGAAGACAGGAGCTCAGTCCCTTACCTAGGAAGATCCCACATGCCAAGGGACAGCTAAGCCCATGCACCACAACCTCTGTGCTTGTGCCCTAAGCTCAGGAGCCAACAACTACTGAGCCCACACGTCACAACTGCTGAAGCCCATGAGCCCCAGAACCCGTGCTCTGAAACCAGAGATGGCCCGGCAAAGAGAAGTCCACGCACAGCATCCAGAGAGTAGCCCCCACTCACTGCAACTCGAGAAAGCCTCCTTGCAGCAACAAAGACCCAGCACAGCCGAATAAATCATAAAAACTAAAACACACACACACACACACTCACACACAGAGCCATTTCTTTAAAAAAAAGAAGATACTTGGAAACAGTTTGATTTTTCAAGCTTTGTTTTTAAGCTTTGTTAGGCAAAATTAAAGCAGTCTTGATCTAGGGCTAGTTTTTTTTCCCACTGCTGACTAATCTCTGTGTATTCAAAGGGTTTTTACATTCTGGCTGGAGCATGGCAGGCTAGAGTGTATGGGGTCGCAAAGAGTTGGACACGACTGAAGCGACTAACACACATGCATGGCGGAAGCATGAATTTCCCCAGTCCTGTTTTGGTCTAGGGGGTTCTGTCTGTTGGGAGTTCTTTCCCCTTGCCTCGTCTCAATCGTTCCTTCTCACCATCATGTAGTTCCAGTGGCACTGGACTGCTTACTGTTTCTTAACAGGCCCAATTTCTCCCACCTCAGAGTCTTTGCACTCGATCTTTTCCCTTCTTGGAAAGCTCTTTACCAGATATCCACACAGTTCACTTCCTTACCTCCTCCCTGTCTTTCTCCAAATGCCAGCTTCTCAGAGGCTGCTCTCCTTAAAGGCTCAACAACCTGCCTGACGCTTCCTTTTTTCTGTTTTGTTTTTCCACACTGACTTATAACCATTTAACCTGATAAACTGGGGGAAGGCAGGCATTTTTGTCTGCTGCTTTCCTTGCCACTAATCCTCAGTTCCTAGAATGTTGCCTGCCATATCACAGACATCCAGTAAACTGAAAATTTTTAAATGAAAAAATAAATTAATTTTATTTATTTTGAAATAAATACTTCAATGAAAGAATGCCAGATGACCTCGTACAGTGCTTTGCCCAATGCCATTGCAATAAAAGTGATGGTGTATGCATTCTCAGTCATGTCTGACTCTTTTGGGACCCCATGGACAGTAGCCCTGTCCATGGGATTTCCAAGGCAAGAATACTGGAGTGGGTTGTCATTTCCTTTTCCAGGGGCTCTTCCTGACCCAGGGGTAGAACCCACGTCTCCTGCATTGGCAGGCAGATTCTTTACAACTGAGCCACTCAGAAGCCCCCTGATGAATCCATATCAATACATTATTATTAACTAAAATCCAATTTACCTTAGATTCCTTCTTTGTATTGTACAGTAACTCCCTATATATGAATAAGTTCCATTCTGAGAGTACATTCATAAGTCCAACAAAGTTAGCTTAAGTATCCAACTAACACAATCGACTATATAGTACTGTATTCTAATAGGTTTGTAATACCTTTCATGCAAATAATATGTACATAAAAAACAAGCAAACACAAAAAATAAAGAAAACATTTTTAATCTTATAATACAGTACCTTGAGAAGCACGTAGTCCAGTGCAGCAGCTGGTATATGGGGGGCTGGCACGCCTGTTTGCATCCTATAGGTTTTGTCACATGCATCATGTCCCGCAGTCTCCACTGCAGCATCATACAGAATGGTGTCTGTGCCCTAAAAATCCTCCACTCCACCCTCCTATTCATTCCTTGCTTCCCTTCCTAACTCCTGGCAACCACTGGTCTTTTTACTGTCTCTATGATTCTGCATTTTCTAGACTATCATGTAGTTGGAATTCATACTAGATATTTAATAAATACTTGTTTAATGAATGGATAATGGTAGCTATTTTGACAACCCATGTGAGCTCTGGTGAGGGCTGGCTCTGGGGCAGTACCAGTGAGGCTGTTGAGAGGGGTATAGACTAGTGAGACACAGAGGAGAAGAATGAACAGGGCATAGTAACAGAGCAAGAGAAGGAATGGCTAAAGTCGATGCCTTCACATTCTGATCCAAATGTCCTGAACAAGAGAATAAATGGGTAGACATCAGTGCAATGTCCTGAAACAATTTCTTCTCACCCAGGTCATAGAGGAAGAGTTGTATGCTCAAGCTCTTATCCTAGAATCACTTAACACAACCCTCTACCAAACCCAGATGGAACTCCAGAGAGAGGTGAATCTTGGCTGGAGTGGGGATGGGAGCTGGAGGGAGGAACCCTCTGCCATGTAGCTCTGCCGTGGGTGACTCTAATTTAGGAGAGATGGCTATTAAAATGTACCTGTCTTTCAGAAAGCTGTGGGAGCAACTCTGGAGAAAACACTCCAGATCAAGCTTGCTGAAGCTGAAGACAAGTTTAAGTACACCATACACCACTTGACAGAAGAAAACATTCATCTAAGGTATGAACGATGCTGCTCAAAAAGACATGGCTGAATTGTCTTCAGAAAGTGAACGTAGGAATTTCCTGGCAGCCCAGTGGTTACGACTCTGTGCTTCCACTGCAGGGATCAGTCCCTGATCAGGGAGCTATGGTTCCATGTTGTGTGGTGATGGGTGAGGGATGGGTGGAAATGAACCTTGGTACTCCCTCATGACATCAAGGCAGGGGGATATTCGCTGGCCACAGAAGTTACCTTCTGAGGTCAGCACTCTTAAAATGATGTTGGGAGACCCCTCTCCCTTTCCTGTTATTAGTTTTTAATGCAAAACAACATGTGAGGTTTATCTGACACTCTCTGGGTTTATTCAGTTTTGCGACTGAGAATTATTTTTAAATCCATGGCCTTGAGCCTTGTGATTTTCTATTAAGGGCTTTATGCCTTGAAAGCCTTCTTTACTTATGGGGTATTAATTAATGCTAGGAAGAGGTTCTGAGGGATCTATTTGAATATCTTGATGGCAAGTACACTGTGAATTTTGCCAATGTCAGTTGGAGATTTTTGCCCATAAAGAAGATAGTAGTTGATTCAGGAAGGACAGATGACCAATGTTTCCAGAATAAGCTTTAGGTCCATGAGAGATGGAGCAAATAAAAGATGTCACAGGGTCTTTTAACTCACCTAGTTGGCTGCTTTGATGATTGTAGTCAAATTCTAGAATTATTTTATATGAGGAGAAAGAAATTCCAGCAAGAAACTTCTCTAAGAATTCTCAGCTTAATAAATGGGTAGAGATGGGAGAACTAAGGAGAAAGGGACATGTGTCTCAAAGGACCTAAAAAAGGAATTAAGTGCAGAGACAGGACCCTCTTGAGGCTCATTAGAGATTCCCCACTCTCTGAAGTGTTTTAGAACTCTGAGGCAGGGACCTCTTTATTGTAGAGGGGCTGAGCACTGAGAGTGTGGCTCTGATGTCTTTTAGGACTGAAAGAGATTCATCCCCAACTTGGAGAAAAGTTTCTTCAAGCCAATTGGGAGGGAGGATTGGGAAGAGCCCCTGGAGTTCCTTGGAGCCGCAACACTGAGAATTGAAAGGATGTTGGAAAGGCTGGTTAAGAGGGCTGAAGCAACCTGAAGTGCTAGACTCTGTAAAATCTCTTTTCCAATGTCCTGGCTCTTTGCAATAACAGGAGAAACTAGGAGGATTCTGGTCTGGCTTAGGAAATTTAATTTTGTGAAATTGAAGATAAGATTTTGGTGGTCTTCTTTATGGGTGACTCATCCATGAGTGTCAGAGAGGTGGTTTGCCAAATGAACTAAATCTGGAGTGGATGTAAATTTACCATTCTATCTGGTCCTTTTAGCAGGGAAAGATTTCAGTTCAACCCATTAATAAGTAGAGTTAAAAGCTTCCTGGGTAGAATCAAACTCTTTAGGAGGACCAGAATTTTCTTTAAAAACAATCTGAAGTCAATTGTAATTTGTCATGAACAACATTTTTATGTGCAAGCCTGAATTTTCTTCTAATCAACAGGCTTTGGAAAAGCCCTAGGAATCATGCAATGAAGTCACCTAGCGGTTACTCAAGCCATATAAGTTAGTAGGTCTCCTGGTTGTAATTTTTGAGATCTGTTAGGATTTTCTTAATTAGCAGTTTTCATCCAATACTGAGACTGGCCTTCCCCAACAAGCATATATATGAACTATATAAGTTAGAGAAACCAGGTCAGTAAGTTTGAATGACTATAGTAAACTCCTAAGCAAATCTGTGAGGCTCTTTGGTTACTCCGAATCTTTGACCATGGCTCACAGTTCAGCTTTAGTCCAAGGAGGATGAGAAATTAAGGATCTGGATTCTCAGACTGCTTAATTTTAAAGGGACAGGTTCTGACAAGTTCAGAGGAAGAGGGAATGGGGAGAATTTCAGAAAGAAGGGAAAGTTCAGTAAAGGAATTACTATAGCGGAGCAAAGGGTATAAAGGAAGTGTAAGCAGCATAGAAGGGAAGGAGGGGATGGTGCCAGAGGCAGAGTCTGGTCACGAAGAGCCAAAGAAGAGACTCAAGATAGAAACAGAGATGGAGCCTGAGACAAAGAGGCCGAAGAAGATGATCCAGAAGTTTCAGCAATGATTTTATCTTTCTTTAATTATTTATTTGCCTCAGTTAACCTTAAAAATCTTATTTTTGCAGAGAGGCAATTTTAGACTCGTGATGACATTTACCAGGCTCAAAATAAGCATTCCACTCAGTTCTGGACATTTTTGAATTATTGTTGTCTAATTTGGTTTTAAGAAAATTAAGTTTGGAGATTTCAAAAGCTCCCCATAATGGCTATTGAGATCCTAACCTGCCTTTGATTTGGACTAGTCCATTCAGCTAGAAATGCACATGAGGAAGGACCACAGTTTTCTGTTTTGTTTTGAGGACCACAGTTTCTAAGCATTAAACTGGTTGGAATCCCTGGGATTGGGATTTCAAAATATCTAGGTAACAGGGGTCCCCTTTCTCAGAGGTTTCTCTCTGGAATAAAAGAGTAATTTTCAAATAACTGACAGCTCGAACAGTTCAATTCAAACAGCTTTCAGCTCAAGCAGCCTACCAGCTTATACCAGCCAGTTCTAATGAAACAGCTTGATCCCAAAGTAGCCAGTCCAGAGGGTTTTCAGCCAGTTTCCAGGAAACAGCCCATGTTCCAAAGGAAGGGGCCAATAGCTTCAGCTTCAATGAAACCGCTCCTGTTCCCAAAGGAAAGGGCTGACAGCTTCTCAGCCAGCTTTCGTTGAAACAGTCCAATCACAAAATCAGACCCAAGTACCAAATGAGTACTCACAAATAGAACAAGGCCTTAACCAGAAACACAAAACCTTAAAACAGATTCTGAATAAAGTCAGAGGGCAAAGAGGGTATGGGTTCAGATCCAGATGAAAGATATACCTTCAAACTCTAGGGTCATTGAGAAAAACAGTAAATTCAGTGGGCTCAATTGTGAGCATCGCAACTGTTTGCTCACCGGTCCCAGAGCCATTGAGGATCATCTCTGGCCCCTGTATCGGCCACCAAATGTTGACGTCAAACAAATAGACGGCCAGTTATTTCTCCAGCAATGATGGGGTTTTATGGAATAACCAAAGAATTTCAATTTGGGGTTTATGAACATGGTCTACACATGGATATCACATGTGTGATATCACATCATGGATATTACCAGATGGTCAATACCAAGATCAGACTGATTATATTCTTTGCAGCCAAAGATGGAGAAGCTCTGTATAGTCAGCAAAAACAAGACCAGGAGCTGACTGTGGCTCAGATCATGAATTCCTTATTGCCTAATTCAGACTTAAATTGAAGAAAATAGGGAAAACCACTAGACCATTCAGGTATGAGCTAAATCAAATCCCTTACGATTATACAGTGGAAGTGAGAAATAGATTCTAGGGATTAGATCTGATAGACAGAGTGCCTGAAGAACTATGAACAGAGATTTGTGATATTATACAGGAAGCAGTAATCAAGACCATTCCCCAATAAAAAGAAATGCAAAAAGGCAAAATGTTTGTCTGAGGAGACCTTACAAATAGTTGAGAAAAGAAGAGAAGTGAAAGGCAAAGGAGAAAAGGAAAGATATAAACATCTGAATGCAGAGTTTGAAAGAATAGCAAGGAGAGATAAGAAAGCCTTCCTCAGTGATCAATGCAAAGAAATAGAGGAAAACAATAGAATGAGAAAGACTAGAGATCTCTCCAATAAAATGAGATACCAAGGGAACATGTCATGCAATGATGGCCTCAATAAAGGACATAAATGGTATGGACCTAACAGAAGCAGAAGATATTAAGAAGAGGTGGCAAGAATATACAGAAGAACTGTACAAAAAAGATCTTCATGACCCAGATAACCACAATGGTGAGATCACTCACCTAGAGCCAGACATCCTTGAATGTGAAGTCAAGTGGGCCTTAGGAAGCATCACTACGAACAAAGCTAGTGGGGGTGATGGAATTCCAGTTGAGCTACTTCAAATCTAAAAGATGATGCTGTGAAAGTGCTGCACTCAATATGCCAGCAAATTTGGAAAACTCAGCAATGGCCACGGGGCCAGAAAAGGTCAGTTTTCATTCCAATCCCAAAGAAAGGAAATGCCAAAGCAATGTTCAAACTGCTGAACAATTGCACTCATCTCACACGCTAGCAAAGTAAGGCTCAAAATTCTCCAAGCTAGGCTTCAACAGTACATGAACTGTGAATTTCCAGATGTTCAAGCTGGATTTAGAAAAGACAGAGGAACCAGAGATCAAATTGCCAACATCTGTTGAATCATCGAAAAAGCAAGAGAGTTCCAGCAAAAACCTCTACTTCTGCTTTATTGACTATGCCAAAGCCTTTGACTGTGTGGATCACAATAAACTGGAAAATTCTTCAAGAGTTGGGAATACCAGACCACCTGACCTGCCTCCTGAGAAATCTGTATGCAGGTCAAGAAGCAACAGTTAGAACTGGACATGGAACAACAGACTGGTTACAAATTGGGAAAGGAATATGTCAAGGCTGTATATTGTCCCCCTGTTTACTTAACTTACATGCAGAGTACATCATGTGAAATACTTGGCTGGATGAAACACAAGCTGGAATCAAGATTGTTGGGAGGAATATCAATAACCTCAAATACTCAGACGACACCACCCTTATGGCAGAAAGTGAAGAACTAAAGAGCCTCTTGATGAAAGTCAAAGAGGAGAGTGAAAAAGCTGGCTTAAAACTCAACATTCAGAAAACAAAGATCATGGCATCTGGTCCCATCACTTCATGGCAAATAGATGGGGAAACAATGGAAACGGTGAGAGACTATTTTGGGGGGCTCCAAAATCACTGTGGTTGGCGACAGCAGCCATGAAATTACATGATGTTTGTTCCTTGGAAGAAAAGCTATGAACAACCTAGACAGCATATTAAAAAGCAGAGACATTACTTTGCCAACAAAGGTCTGTCTAGTCAAAGCTATGGTTTTTCCAATAGTCATGTATGGATGTGAAAGTTGGACCTATAGAGAAAGCTGAGAGCCAAAGAGTTGATGCTTTTGAACTGTGGTATTGGAGAAGACTCTTGAGCGTCCCTTGGACTACAAGGAGATCCAACCAGTCAATCCTAAAGGAAATCAGTCCTGAATATTCATTGGAAGGACTGATGCTGAAGCTGAAACTCCAATACTTTGGCCACCTCATGCGAAGAGTTGATTCATTGGAAAAGACCCTGATGCTGGGAGGGATTGAAGGCGGGGGGAGGAGGGGACGACAGAGGATGAGATGGTTGGATAGCATCACCAACTTGATGGACGTGAATTTGAGTAAGTTCTGGGAGTTGGTGATGGACAGGGAAGCCTGGCATGCTGCAGTCCATGGGGTCACAAAGAGTCAGACATGAATGAGTGACTGAACTGAACTGAACTGAAATATGGCAAGCCATGTGCAAGGTCCCACATAGCAAGGGAAAAAGAATGCTTTTATAGAGGGGAAAAAGTAATAGGGGAGGGCTATAGTAAACAGAGTCCATGACTTTTCTCTGCCTGAGTTATTACTAGAAAACAAGAGGAGTGTTTCTTCCTTTTGGGCTCTGCTACCATCTCAGGGCATGAGAGCTCCCCCTTCTGGCCTCCCTACTCTATTTAATGAAGAATAATAGTTGCTCCATCTTGTCTGACTGTTTGTGACCCCATGGACTATACAGTCCATGGAATTCTCCAGGCTGGAATACTGGAGTGGGTAGCCTTTCCTTTCTCCAGGGGATCTTCCCAACCCAGGGATTGAACCCGGATCTCCCACATTTCAGGAGGATTCTTTACCAGTTGAGCTATCAGGGAAGCCCCATTAAAGAGTCTTTTGTTGGTATCTTTTTTTTACATGGGACTTAGGTGTCAATAGTTTACCTTTAGATGCAGCTGCATTTGGTTCCTATGAAAATCAACCTCAGGTCAGAAATTATACTGTTACCTGAAGATGCATCTTAAATCATTGAAGTAACTTTTGGTCAATACTTTAGCAAAGGGAAATTGTTCACTGTGTTAATTTTGTCGTAAATTCTTCATATGAGAATGTGGTAATCCAAATTTCATGTCTCCCTAAATTCAAAATCACTGCAAATATTGAAAGACACCACTCCCAGCCAGTGAAGGAATAAAACCACATTTCTCTGCCTCCCAGGTGTCTTATATCCCTTTCTACCCTTCACCTCTATAGTGATAAATCTTCTCTTTATAGGCAAAAGATAATTGCCAAAAATGAAGAAATTTATGATGAACTATCTGGGAGATCTACCTCTGTTATTTACGAGCATAATTCTGACACTTTAGAAGATGGTGGCAACGAAACACAAGAATCATGAGAAGAAGAGTTGGTCTCTATGACCAAAGATGTTAGGAACCATCTTTGGTAGGCTTAAGAACTCCTGTGAGCTTTTCTTGAGAAATGCATATGGTGAGTTTAGCTTTTGGCCTTGCCTTGATTCTACTTGTGACTTTTCACAGTTTGTTTTCTTCTGAGTGACTGAGAATGTTTGAATTCTCATTTTAATTACATAAACATTCATGACTCTTCATTGAAAAGTGACTGTCTCTATACCTAGAGCTGAGGGTCTCTAGGCTTTGTACTATTTTCTCTTCCACCTTTACATATTTCATTACCAAAGACACTTACCTGAAGACACTTGCACTTCTTTCTATTAAATGTTGACAATATTTTGGGGTGTGCCTTTTGTCCCCCAGACATTTCACTAGCAAGAATGATAATTTGCTGAATTGATCCCCCAAACCTTTTCTCTCTTATATGTGTCTCCACTCCCCTACTTCTCAATATGTTCCCTACCCTGTGATTTGGGAAGAATTTCTGATGATTCCTGCCATCATCTCTAAACTATTCCCAGAATTCAAATGTCCAGAAGGCAGGCAACATAAATAAGGGAAGTGGGCTTGACATGAGGAAAAATAACCATATAAGCACAGTGATAAATGGTAACTGGCAGAACTCTCAATGAGGGAATTGGGCAGGATGGTGTGGGGACTGGGGGTATGGGATAAGGGTTGTGGAAATTTGGTGAACCCATTTCATTGTTGCCAAACAGAAGCATGGTGTAAATGTGGTCAGATACTCTGATCTTCAAAAGAAAGCATTCTGGGTTTTATGTGACAGCTTCCAATTTTTAAATATGGAGAAGTGGGATTTTTTTAGACCAGAAATGTTTAAAAAATACAACTATGTGAACCGATATCGGAAGCCTCAAGGAAAACATATCTATGATCCAAACATTTTCTGCCTGTAAGACTAGATTTCATTGGCAAAAAAACAAAAACAATCTCCAAGAAATAGTATGATAAAATTACATTTTATTCTGCTAAAAATATGTATTACATTACTAATTATTAATTACTAAAGATTTAAACGGAGTTGAACATATAAAGAAAGAGCAAATGTGTAAAAGGCATACTGCATTGTTAGCATAAAAGCAAATCATGTTCAGCACTACAGAAGCATGTATATAAAAGCTGAAAAGGGAGTTTGGAAAGATTCTAAAAAAAACAAAATTATTTGGTATTTTAAAAATCTTTAATATATGAATTTTTAAATTTTTTATTTAAAAGAATCTTGCAAATTAATATAAAGGATAGCTTGGGAAAAGACCTACTGGAAGTACAAAACAAGTTAATATTGTTTCTCTTAAAAGTAGGTTGGGTCCTGCATTTATGAATAATTTTTTTTAAAAAAGAAAATAATCTCTAAGCTTTTGAAACTGAAGTCTAAAGAGTGGTGGTTTTCACCGCTGAAAAGTAGGGTCTGCTAAGGAGAGGAGGGTCACATGTTTCCAGGATAGCTTATCAAACTCACCAGCAGTAATCAGGCTGGATGTGGGAACTTTATACCCTGAACCTCAATAGTCAAGGGGGATTTTTAGCTAGCTCAGATCACAAAAGTCTCCCTCTATGATCTTTGACATTTATTTTAAACTTACTGTGTTTTTTGTATCTATTTTAGTTCATTTTTAAACCTTTTCATCAAATTAAAAACACAATGGAAGTCAAGCCCACAGCTATGACTGTCTAGTTACTGTCTACAAGCCAGAAATTTAGGCTTGAATTAGCATAAAAATTATATTGTCCTGACTCCCATGCTCTCCCAGCTATTTGAAAATAAAAAGAAGAAGAAATAGAATAAAGTAGCAGCGTTTTCACCATTTTTCAGTTGCATAACTATTGTCTAGTTATACAACTAGACAACAGCATCAATTAAGAGGAAAGAAGAGTTTTTTTCGCAGTGTGAAAGTAGGTTGTGGCATCTGTTTGCCCATAATTCTCTTGTCATCCTTATTGCTTACTTCGAAGTTCACCTTGGTTAGGATGGTGAGAATGTCTTCACCCCTGAAAAATGTAACAGAACATTGTGACCATCTATGGGAGGAAATCACGATCATCTACTGTAGTTAGTGATAATTATTTCCCTCAGAACATCAGGCATTTGAATTCATAAGGTGTTAAACCAAAGCCTACCACAGCTTTCTAGGTAAAGAAGTTCTCAGAGCTTCATAACTTACCTTTGGTTTACTCGGGATCTTATGACCATCAGAAACCTCAGTGTCAACACTAGATTTGGTTTCTTTCCCTCCTGACCTTTGTACCTCACTCCAAGTACTATGTCACTTACCCACTAATCTCCTCAAGGCCCCTCAACATCCTCTGCCTCAAACTGGCATTGCCTCTGTGGATTCACTGATGGCCCCATCAAACTTGAAGCAAGTGGAAATAGAATGTCTCCTGCAGCAACTCCACCCCTTTCTCAGCAGCACCTCTTATCACTTTAGTTGGGCAACCTGTTTATTCACCTCTGTAGCTAGCCCTCTGGAACCTTGCAGGTTCATTCACTATATAAGTTACAAAATGAAAATGTAGCCTGGATGTTATGGTTCTCTCTCAGTCCTTTCTCTGCCATGGACAATTCTTGCTTTTCACAGTTAAAACATAATGAGACACAAAACTAGAAGCAACTTGCAGAGGAGTTCTTGCTATTTATTTGCTGGTTGTATGTACATTAAGTGAACTAAGTCATACAAAACTATCACTTAACTAATGGAAACATAAGATAATAAATGAGGAAAAGACATTTTCCCACATTTTGTGAGCTTCAAACCAGTCAAATTATTGGGAATACAAAAGGTTTCTACACTTTGGCTCTTAACTCCCACAAGAGGGTTTGAGGTTGGTGAGCTATTACAGAAGGCTTCCCTGGTGGCTCAGATGGTTTAAAAAAAAAAAATCCACCTGCAATGCAGGAGACCTGGGTTCGCTCCCAAGTTGGGAAGATACCCTGGAGGAGGATATGGCAACCCACTCCAGTATTCTTGCCTGGGAAACTGCATGGACAGAGGAGCCTGGTGGGCTACAGTCTATGGGGTCATAAAGAGTCAGACACAACTGAGCGACTAACACTTTCACTTTTGACAGAGTAAGAGAATGTTAAACATTGAAATTCCAAACTTGTTGAGTGGGTTCAGTCAGGTTTCTGCCTAAAAACAGAGCTGTACTATATGATTTTGCCATCTCTCCAGCTCTATGATATACTGATTGTCTTTTGAAGTGCTAAATAAAAGAAAATCCTCAGTAAGCATCTCAGATTTTTCCATCTGTGAACTAAAGATGCCTCTTTCACTCTGCAACTGACCTGAGAATCAGCTATGTGATCCACAACTACACATTTGGAGATGAATGTAGGATTGAATAAGCAAAAATTACCTAGGACATCTCTTTCTCAGGTTCTGGCAAAGCGATTGGATATACCAGGTCCCTTCCCTGATGCTTCGGTAGGAGACACAGTTGTTCACAGTGGCCATCCCCAGCAGAAAGTCAGCCTCATCTGGGATATATCTCCTCCGAGGTGCTGAATCCATTTCTAAACAGACTTCTGAGTCGGTCTCAATAGCTATACCTCTCTGGTAGTCATCCCCTTGGCAAGCCTGAATAAAAAATATTTTGGGTTTGCCAGCAAGGGAAGGGCATTTTAAGCCAGTGAAGAAAGAGGTCAGCTCATAGATGGGGGCTTCTTGCCCATCGGTGCCATAGATGATGCCCTGGTTTCCATGGGAGAGGATGCAGCAGATGAAGCAGTCTCTGTTTTCATGGTCCTTCTTCTGGTAGAATTCCAGAGCCTTATAGATTTCCTTTGCTGTTTGGTCTTTGTAGTGCACTATCTCAAAATGAAGTTCCCTAAAGGTCTTGTCCAAAGCCTCTGGAAAGTGAAACAAGAAAAATCATATTGGACCTCCCTCATGGTCCAGTGGTTAAGAATCTGCCTGCCACTGCAGGGGGTATGGGTTAGATCCTGGTCCTGGGAGGTTCCACATTCCTTGGAGCAACTAAGCCCAGGGCATGGCAACAACTGAGGCCTGCATACTTTAGTGCCCTTGCTCTGCGAGAAGAGGAGCCGCCACGGTGAGAAGCCTACACACCACAGAGAGTAGCCTCCACTCGCTGCAGCTAGAGAAAGTCCACACACAGAAATGAAGACCCAATGCAGCCAAAGGTAAATAAATTCATTGAAAACAAAAGAAAGAAAAGTCAATAGTACACTGCGGTAATTCCTAGACCACAACCTAGAACTGGAGAGAACACTGATCAGATAAGAATTTGAACCAGAATTTAAGAACAAGACCCATTATATTAGTGGCTGGATTCCATAGGCTTCTAATATTTACTGCCACTAGCTGCAAACATTTCCCAGTTCTGAGGCAAATGAGAAAGGGGAGACTGCTCTTGTCTTTTCTCAACTAGTCTACAAGATCGGTAAGCTATTTTTTAAGGCTTACTACTGAACCAGTCTAAAAGCTAACTGTACTACTGACATAACCAGAAAGAAAGCAAAACAAATTTTTAATACAAAATCCATACTTATTTTATCCTGTATCCTCTCAGAGCTGTTTATCAAAATACAAGATATGAATGTTTAAAAAGTCAAGTAGAACTAAAAGACTTATTACAAAAAAGTCACCCCTTCTCTACTCTTTCCTACTACCGAGTTATATTCTGTCCAGCCACTTCCGTGAAGGCAACCACTTTCAACTTTTAACTATTTTGGGGGGATGGGGTGGGGGTGGTGTTAGCCTCCATTTTGTAATGAATTTGAGTACATTTCTATTTATTTATTTATAAATTTTAGACTTTTGTATTGAGTTTCTATTGTGGATGATGAGTACTTGGTTTTCTTAAACATTTATAACATTTAGTTGAAGCAGTAGAAATCTATCTATTACCAGTACTATGTAAATATAATATTCTTTAATATGCTTCCTTCCTTATTAAAATAAACCAAGATATATGATGATAAATGATGTAGCCAGTGAACTTAAGCTCTATGGCTGTTTAAAAACCTTAGAATAGACTTGCTTGAATAAACAAATGTTAACAGAAAACATTCACAGAGTCCTGATGACTAAAATCAACCTATCTTAATTTTCTAAGCACTACTCTACTTAAAAAAAATAAGTCATTACCTGATGTTATGACTCATAAACACCATTTTCAAAAATTCTTTCATCAAGTTGAAATTCTTAATATCACTATGGACTGGGCTGGATTATTTCTTTTATTGCTTTTAGTTGTCGTCATATCTACATTCACATGATGCAAATTACTTTTCATTCAACCTGTAAGATCTCAATCTTAGCCGGAAAAGACTGAGCCAAAGAATTTCTGGTTAGTTTAACATTTGAAAATGCTATTTATGTTAAGAACTCAATTTCTGCTGCACTCAGAGCCCAACTTCTGTAAATGGTCCATACCAAAGCAATGTTTTCACCCAATACCTAAGACACTCTACAGAAGTTCTATGCATTTAGTTGAATTATAAAGAAGTTTAGGGACTTCCCTGGTGGTCCAGTGGATAAAAATCCACCTGCCAATGCAGGGGACCTAGGTTTGTTCCCTGGTCCAGGAACTAGGATCCCACATGCCACTGGGCAACTAACCTCATGAGCCACAACTACTGAGCCCGCACTCTAGAGTCCTCAAGCCACAACGAGAAGCTACCACAACAAGAAGCCCACTAGCTACAACTGAGCAAGCCTGCATGCAGCAACGAAGACCTAGTGTAGCCAAAAATAAACAAAAACAAAGCTTATTGTTGCTGACAGCCTTCTTGTAAGATTTAATATTTTATCTTTATAAATATATTGCTTTGATTTTAAAAATTAATTTAAAAAAACCAAAAGCAGAAAACTAGCAAATATATAAGAATGTTCTTCCTGTCCACAGGGAAATATGGTTATATCCACCTTTTTGAAACATGTGGCCCTGTTGATACAGTTTTTGTTCTCCCTTTTCAACAAAAACATAGGTATTAGAAATATTTCATTTGTTTTTTCTGTTCTACTGTACCTGCATCCAAGTGTGTTCCACTCCTATCCTTTAGTTTCTGAAGTTCGGGCACCTTCCTCCGTGCTATGCTAAAATCATAATTGTTAAAGATCAAACAGTATCCCCGAGGTTTGCTTGTCATTCGGTAAACTGTGTCGGATGTCTGAAAAACAAAAATCCAACCCAGGAGCTGACTCTCTGGGTCAGCTCTGGTTAGGCATCACCCAAGCCCACCTGGGATGCAAATGCACTTTCCATGGCCCCACCCCAACTTGGAGCTGCTCCGCTAAGGATCTAGTCTCCATTCATTCCCCGGACAAAGGATCCCCAGACTTCTTTCCCACAGTTTCACGTATAAAGTCAGTGTCCCATTATTTGGGCCTCCTGAGCATTGGTACTTATATTAATAGTGTTGTCGTCATATTGTACTAGTATTATTTATTCTCATCTCTGCTCAAGGCACAGAGCATCTGTGGCAGGGACTAGGATTTATTATTCATTTGAGAGAGCTCAGTCAGGAGTTGCTGGACTGAGGACTACTGTCGTGCTGTCTCTAGGCAGCCCTTTGTGGCCTTGAGATTCCCTTGGCTCTCTGATCATCTCATCCATGCTCTGGGCCAACAGCTGAGGACCTATCCGTCACATGATATGCAGCATGGTCCCAGGATTTTTAAAGCTGATGGCTTAACTTGGCTCTGAGGACCACAGTGACTGGAGGAGACAGATGGGTTATGCTGGGGGTCACAATATCCAGGTTCTAGTACTTGACAGTACTCTGTGACCTCCTGATTTCCCCAGGGCTGTTTCAGTGCTGAGATATTTAGCATTTATTGGGAAATCCATGCAGCTCCTCAAGGTAGAAGAGAGGGCCCCAGACTAGGGGGCCAAATTCCTGGCTCAATAACCTCAAGACTTGGGACAAGTTATTGACTCTCTCTTGCCCTTGCTGTTGTTAGCTGATGGGTGGGGATGACATCAGCAGAGTGCTTTACTGTTTACAAAGTGCCACATGACTTTGGCTAATCCTTGATGCTCATACCAAGAGAGGTCTGGTAATTTGCCCAGGAGCCCACTAATGAATGGTCTCTCCTAAGCTTAATTTCAAGTTTTTCTCACTAGACTTTTGGCTTATAGCAATTCCTCTGCTTCCCTGGGAAGAGTGAATGGACTGATGAGTAAGAAGGTGGTAAAGTGTTGAAGGTTACAGAAACAGAAGTGATATCAGGAAAGGCAATTCTTGGGCCTGCTCAATGGGAGGAGAACATAGAGATGACTAGATCGTGAACATTTGCTGCTTACGCCCAGTCACAAAGGAGAAACAGTTTTGAAATGCCAAGCTAAACGAAGACTTTGCTTTTTCCAGTCCTGCTCATCTCTCCGCCCCCCCCCCTCCCCGACAAAGCCCCCTCCCATTTAGACTGAGGCAGCTGCTACCGGGATCAAGTTAGAGGCTCCCTACTCCTCTGTCCTACAACCCTTCCAACATCTTTGGTTTTAAAATAGACATGTAACACATGGGAAACCAAAGAGATCACCTTTACCAAATTCCAAAGTCACATTTTAAACTTGTGCTTTTGTGGAATTTTTCTATAGTTCTCAACACTTTTCATTAAGTTTCTGTCCCTTATTAGTTTATTCGGGTGGGGGGCAGGGGAAGCTCAGGAACACAATAACTAGAATCTGCAGCACAAGAGGGGAAAGGAATGGGAATTTCCTGGTACCTGCAACTCACTGTCCTGTTCTCCTGGAGAGTCTGACATGGCCAGCATCTCAGAGGAGCCCTCCTCTGGAAGCAGTTGTGACATATCTGGAATGAAATGTGGCAGGGAAGATATTGGTTAGGAAAGAGGTGGCACCCAGGACAACATAAGGTCCCTTTTAAAATGTAAATTCACTGACCGCCTTGAACATAATATACTTGCAGTCCACAGAATAAGGGAAAATCTTACTACTGGCTCACTCTGCCTGTATCTCAAACTTGGCAGCCTGAGGCTACAGGGTCTCTGCCTTTTGACAACCCCTTTTATATCTTCCATGTGCAGAGAAGGTGACTGATGGTCACCGCTATTAGGAGAGCAGGTCCATTAAGATGCAGATGTGGTAAAGGTTGTAGAGAGGACACAGTGAGGCTTGTAGTTTAGTCATTGTCCGACTCTTTACGACCCCGTGGACTGTAGCCCACCAGTCCTCAGTCCATGGGATTTTCCAGGTAAGAATACTGGAGTGGGTTGCCATTTCCTTCTCCACGGGATCTTCCCAACTCAAACACTGAACCCACATCTCTTGCATCTCCTGCACTGGCAGGCAGCTTATTTACCACTAGAGCCACTGGGAAGTAAATTAACTAAATAGACCTTGAAAACATATCTGCAAGTATTACCATTTGAAAATTCATCTGGATCTCTTTCAAGGCTCATTCTTCTCTCTGAATTTTAAAAGAAACATACACATATTTGATTAGAAACAGTTGTGACATAGAAGCATCTGTCAATTTAAGACTACATTTTGCTGATTCACAGCTCTCAGGTTATTTATACCTTTTCTTAATTCTTCATAATCAATTATTTTCTTCAGCAGGCTCTTGTTGACCTGCTCACAGATTCTTTTCAGGGTGTCCAAGTTTTCTTTCCCTAGGATGGTCCTCTTCTCCATCTCCACGAAAATATCAAGCAAAGTCTAGAAGGGGGAGAAGTCAAGTTAGAAAACAGGATGGAGTTTTACTGACTTTTAGATTATTATTTTTTTTATTTCCACTTTCTCCAAACTAGACACCCACCTAGCTTCCCAAGCTGTTCCACCTAAGAGGACATCCTGGTCTTATAAAGCCAATCAATAAACTATCAGGGAGGGAATTCATGTTTTCTGGCCCCAAAAGACAGAAATAAGACAGAGAAGAAGTCACCTCAGATGTCACCCAGTCCCCAGGCCCAACCATCTATGGACACTTTTCTGTGAAGACAGTGAAGCAGCCCCAGCACATGGCTGAGATGCAGCAGCCCAGTCCCCATGGCAACAGCCCTGGGAACTGCCTCACACCCTACATTACCTCTGGCACCCAATCACCTCCAGGCTGAGGGTCCTCAACAACACACACACACAGACAAACACACACACATACAGCATTCCATCACAGCACAGACACACATACATATAGACACACCATACCACACACACACACACACACACACACACACACACACAGAGTTCCAGGTCCCAGGTTTTTCAGAGACTGCAGAAGTGGGGAAATGGTCTCAGCCCCACCACTGGCTTTCCTGGCTCTGCAGGCCCCCACGACTGACCTGGGATCCCACAACCAGCCTTCTCTCTTTGTTCCTCACTCTGTCTAGTCCCTGATAATTAATGTGAGCAGCACCTTATATTATACAAAGGCATCATATCTACAGCACTCATTCCAGACAGCATTCTTCTCCCTTGGTTAAAAAGTGAGGATTCAGGTTGCTTTTACTGACAAGAGCTCTCTTTAGTCTCAGAAATCACCGCCAGGGCTACACCTCAAGTGAGACAGCAGGTCTTACCATGTCATCATCCAGCTTACATTTGGCAATCTCCTGGCTCAAAAAAAACTTAAACTCCTTCAATTCCACTTTGTTCACATCTTCTGAAATCTGGTAAAGCAGGATCCTATAGTGGGAAACAGAAACACTTTAACTTTCTTAAATTATTTCCCATCTGATATATGGAGTCACATGGACTTGATCCTCTGGGCTTCCTTTAAAATAAAACCAGCTAATGATGTGATTTATGAGTTGAGTCCTTGGAAAGAGGCTGGTGTAGTGACACTGAAGACTCATGGCTCATTCTCAACTATCCCACTCTTAAGGGAATTTAAATCCCCCAGGGGCTTCCCCGGTGGCTTAGTGGTTAAGAATCCACCTGCTCATGCAAAGGACACAGGTTGTCTCTGGTCCAGGAATGGACCAGATGCGGTCCCGCATGCTGCAGGGTAACTAAGTACGTGTGCCACAATTACTGAGCCCATAATGCTCTAGGGCCCAAGAGTTGCAACTACGGAAGCCCACAAGCCCCAGATCCAGTGTACCATGATGAAGAGTAGCCTCCGCTCTCTACAACTAGAGAAAGCCTGCATGAAGCAGTGAAGACCCAGGAGAGCAAAAATAACTAAATAAATAATTTTTTTAATTTAATTAAAATTTTTAAAAGTTCCCCAATTTTGACTTTCAGTTAACTTCAATTGAGTGAATTGTGTTTTTCTCTTGTCCTTCACTATAAGATCAAGATCTTGCTGCACAGAAAGAAAAAAAAAAAAGCTTTGATTTTGGATATTATTCTTTTCAAAACACATCAGTTTAGTCAATGTTCTCCTAGCCACTCCCTTCAATAGGAAGGCCAAACACCTCCTCCTGGAACACAGGCTTTTGTGAACTGAGCCTAATCTGCCTCTTCATCTCTGGCCACGCCTTACCACCATCTCCCCATTCCTCTCCGAACATACCCAGTTGCCCTGCCCCTCACCCTTTGATGCTGGGCCCCTCACACCCCCATCATCTTGTCCATCTGCAGACTGGATTAAGGTGGTCCTAACCCGATGGCTGGTGTCTCTGAAAGAAGAGGGAACTTTAGAGACAGACTGAAAGGAGAGAATACAAGGTGAAGAGAGGCAGAGGTTGGAGTGAGGCGTCTGAAAGGAGGACTGCAAGGAGTGCCTGCAACTCCCTGAAGCCAGGAGAGGAGCATTAAATAGATTCTCCCTTAGAGCCTCCAAAAGGGAACCCATCATGTTAACACCTCAATTTCAGGCCCATAGGCTCCAGAACAATTAGAAAAATAATTTCTCTACTGTGTTAAGCCTTTGGCAGGACAGACAGCCCAAGCCACTGCCGTTCTTCTGACAGCATCTGGAGTCATGGGGATTAAGCTGTCATTGGGTGTCGCAGACTGGCTTATGAAGTGAAATTGTGGAAGCTGTTTAACCTTTAGGATGATTGGTTATTATAGTGGGGGTTTCCCTTGTATGGCCAGGGATAGATTAGAAATGATTATCTTAAGACTTCTCTGGTGGTGCAGTGGGTAAGAACCCACCTGCCGATGCAGGGGACGTGAGTTCTATCCCTGGTTGGGGAAGAGTCCACTTGCTGTGGAGCAACTACGCATGCGCACTGAAGCAACCAGGCCGAGTCCCGCAGCAACTGAAGCCCACGCGCCTAGAGCCTGCGCTCCGCAACCGGAGAAGCGGCCGCAATGAGAAGTCAGCGCGCTGCAACAAAGAGTAACCCCTACTCGCCACAACTAGAGAAAGCCCAGGTGCAGAACTGAAGACCCAGCACAACCATAAGTAAGTAAATAAATGAATCTTTTTTTTTTTAATTATTATCTTATGCCATTAAAAAAACCAATCATTCTGGGGGTCCAGCCTGGCCAAAACAGAATGACTGGCAGCACACACCTCACTGAAGAACTTGGTAACGCAAGCCTTAAAGTGTATAGTAAAAGCCTAAAACCCTGTGGAGAATTTCATAGACATCCACAAGGAGATGGGACGGGTTCTCGAGTGGGAAGCTGCAATGCTTAATTAATAATAGGCAAGGTTAAGTGCACAGTATGAACATCAGCAAAGCAGAGGCATCAAGATAACAGACATGTGACAGAGAGGAGAGTTAGAACGCTTAAAGCACGGCTATTTGAATTTCAGTGGCTTCCCAGGTGGTGCTAGTGGTAAAGGACCCACCTGCCCATGCAGGAAACATGAGATGCAGGTTCGATCCTTGCATTGGGCAGATCCCCTGGAGGAGGAAATGACAACCCACTCCAGTATTCTAGCCTGGAGAATCCCCATGGACAGAGGAGCCTGGAGGGCTACAGGGTCACAAAGAGTCGGACACAACTGAAGCAATTAGCACATGTACCTACTGGTAATGTTTCTCTCTGTAAAGAAAATTTTACTTTATTGTTTTTAGTATTTTTTTTTCTCTGAATTCTACATAAAGTCTCTACATTTCTTAACCTGGCCATGGTGAAACTTCTTACCAGAGCCTCCAAAGTCACTCCACACAGACAACCTACATACAACATGAGCCCTGCCCATAAAGATGTGTGCATTCAAACCCACCGCTCCCAGGTCCACACCGCGGAGGTTCTCCCCACCTGTAGGCAGAGATCTGGGCCCTGCCAGGTATGTGAAGCTCCCTCTTCATCTCCTCCTCACTGGTGTTCAAGTAGTAACGCAACAGATCCAGTCTATTCACTCGGAAAAGCAGCTCCTTCAAGAAGGACAGATTGCTTTCCTCCAACATTCTCATTTCTTGGAGCCTCTGGAATAGCATCCAGGCATCGTTGATGGGTTCCTGCTTCCTATATGGGATGTGGTCCCGGCTTAGGAACTTAAGGGCAGCCAGGTCGTCGCTGCCCAGCTCTTCCCCAATTTTATAGAGACGTCGGGTGAGATCCATGCTTCTCAAGTGTTAGGAGAATGTAGTTGTTACCTAGGTTAAAATACAATGTTATTTTCAGATGAGGAAGAAAAGTACCACTTACTGGTTTGTTCCTTCATCAGTTGCTATTACATCTACTATATGCCAGACATGATGCTAAAGATACAGGGAGAAGAAAAACAAAAAGAAAAAAAAACACAAACAAACAGGTTCCCACTCATCATCATTTGGAACATAACATTGTTTTGGAAAATAGATTTACAAACTAATCAGTGGTCAGAGAGCTATAACCAGAGCACAGGAGAAACACAGAGCCTTAACTCAACCTGGGAGAAGGGCTTCCTGGAGAGAGAGGTCACTTTTGGGGAGAAGATGGTGAAGGACAATTCTTGAAGGAAATAATCTATGCAAAAGATGGAGGCAAGAATGTTCAAGTCAGTTCAGACAGGCATGGAGAACTCAAAAAGTAATCGTGAAGAGTCTGAAAGAGGGAATGGTGAGACAAAGGGATGGAACTGTGGCCAGGAGCCATTATAAAGGGCCCAGACTGTGGGTCAAGGGGATCAGGCTCTGTCCTGGAGGTAACAGGAAACTAGAAAGCATCGTAAGCACGACAATGATGTCATCCAATTTAGTATCAACATTTAAAGTGTGGCGGACATGCATAGATGTATAACTGAATCCCACTGCTGTACATCTGACACTAACACAGAATTGTAAATCAACTAGACTCCAGTATAAAATAAAAATTATACTTAAAAAATAAAATGAAGTGTGGAGGACAGATTGGAAGGGTTGGAGGTGGGAAAAGTGATATGATCTGGCAGAAACAATGGTGGTGGGAGGACACGATGCCGTGTTATCCCCCAAGGGCCTCAGGACTGGCTCTCTCAACTGGTCAAGAACCCAAGACTGGAAACAGAAACCAGGAGAACTTGGTCAGCCTTTCAACTCAAATGATGGGGTATTTTCACATGTTGCTATGGTATTCGATAAGTCGTGTTGTCTAACTCTTTTTTGACCCCATGGACTGTAGCCTGTCGGGTTCCTCTGTTCATTGGATTTCCCAGACAAGAGTACTGGAGTGGATTGCCATTTCCTTTTCCAGGGAATCTTTCTGACCCAGTGATCGAACCCATGTCTCCTGCATTGGCAGGTGGATTTGTTACCACTGAGACACCAGGGAAGCCCTATTTCCATGTACTTACTTGTTTGAGTGGGCTTTGCCAGTGGCTCAGATGGTAAAGAGTCCAACTGCCATGCAGGAGACCTGGGTTTGTCCCCTGGAGAAGGGAACAGCTACCCACTCCAGTATTCTGGCCTGGAGAATTCCATGGACAGAGGAGCCTGGCAGGCTACAGTCCATGGGGTCTCCTAGAGTCAGACACAACCGAGTGACTAACACACACACATCTGAGCAGGTAAGAAAAGGAGAGGGCAGTGTTTCAGGAGACCACAGACAACCTTCACACAGTAGCCCCGAATCTGGAGTTCTCCGCCTTGAGCCCCTTGAGTCACCGTGTATTTCTCTTGCACCTTCCCTGCTCTGATAGGCCTATATTCTAGGCACCAGGAGCCCTTGGAGCGGGGCTGGTGTCAGACAGAACATAGGAACAAGACTGGGACATAATTCCTCGAGGCGGGCCACATGGTCACTGTCAAAGCCAGGAATCTCACCAGCAGCTGAGTGTCTAGGCAGTGGGGCTGTGGGGTCAGACAGAACTTAGACCAAAACCCAGGGTGGGCCTGGCCCAGGCCTGCGCAGTTCAGAGCCTCTTAGGGTGAGATTGTCCTCTGTAAGGTGAGATCAAAAGAACAACCTCTCCTGCAGTGTTGTGAGTGTGAAAGAAAGGGAAAGTGAGAGTTGCTCAGACACGGCTGTCTCTTTGCCACCCCATGGACTGGAGCCCTCCAGGCTTCTCTGTCCAGGGGATTTCCCAGGCAAGAATACTGGAGTGGGTAGCCATTCCCTTCTCCAGGGGATCTTCCCAAACAAGGGATCAAACCCAAGTCTCCTGTACTGGAGGCAGCTTCTTTACCTTCTGAGCCACCAGGGAAGCCCCTCTGTGAGTATGTAACACCTTTAATGTTTGCAGAGTAACGAACAACAGCTCATGAATAAAGGCATGTTCACCTGAAAGGAAGGAAGCACCTCGGCTGTGGGGCTGGACGCCGCTGGCTGCATGGAACCTGAACACTTCTCTTACCCTCGGAATCTTCCTGCTTCCTCCCTGGAAACTTCAGTTGGAAGCAGCGGTTTTCAACCTCTTCATAGTTGAAGAACTTTTCCTCGAAGGCCTACTCAAATGCTCCCTGACCTCAGGGCTACTGTCTGTGAACCTTGAACTAGAAAACCTTTAACCTCAGCTCCAGCACTTGTTTGTTCCCTCAGACTCTGTGCCCCTGGGCATTTTGCTTGACATCAGATAATCTTAACCTGTTTGGATCTCTTTCCTCCCTGAAACAAGGCTCCTGAATTTTTAAGCATTCACTGACATTCTTGGATGAAACCACGAATCCTGACTATCATTTGAGGGGTGATAGAGTGAACCAGGCCCCGTGTATTTGGTACATCAGATGTTAAAATAGAAACATTAAGGTCAATTTTAGTATTTTTTAAAAGTGGCCCACAAAAAATAACTTCTTTTAAAGTAGCCCAAAAGATTTTAAGGCTTTTTAGCTTTTCTTTTTAAAAACACCTCCAACCTCCCAATGCTGATTATAGAACAGTGGGGTTTTTTGAGGGGGGAGGGTAAAAATTGAAAATACAATAAATTATAACATGGTCACAATTGTCATTATCATACATCATACACATAAAGATACATTTATAGAAAAAACAAAACTGTACACCTGGGTTTTTTTTTTTTTTACCCACTTAATAATTAGAATGAACATTTACCCTTACCATAAACATTCTTCTTTGGCATATTTTTAATATTTATTGAATTCCAGCATGTGAAAATAAAATTGATTTTAAGCAGTTTTCTGTTTCTTTACTGTTAAAATAATATTGCATTGAGGGACTTTTTCATATATCCTGGGCATATCGCTGATTATTTCCTTTTTTAGAATTGGAATCATGGCAAAACTTTTTTTCACCCTTTTGGTCTAGAGCTGGCATTACTGTTTAGACAAATTCTTGATTAGGGAACTGTAGGGACAGTGTCTTGGGAAGATGCATTTTGTTTTGTATTGGATTCACAAAGACTGCAGAGCCTAGATCATTCACTGCAAAAGCAATCAATTATCATAAAAATATTTTGATATCTTAAATATTTGGCCAGCACCTAAAAAGCATATGTTCAAAGTTCAACAAACAAAACTACTGGACATTCCAGGGAACAGACTAGTGAGTTCATTCCTTAAATCACACTCTGTAGGAACATACATGTGCTCTACAGGGTTTGTACATATCACAACAGCATGATATGTAAGCTTGAACAAGTAGAAACATCCTCAAAGTCCTCCAATAAAAGAGTGGCTAAGTCAACTACATATAGTCATACACAGTAAGCTGTGCAGCACTTGAGAAGATGTCCTCCACCTTCTGAAAGTAAAATGTATAGACATTCAAGATGTGTTATGTCAGTGAAGATAGTAAGTTGCAACATAACCAAGAATCATAGAGCTACTTTTCAGAAACACTCAAACAATACAATTAGATTTTCAATGATTATAGACATACTTATAAAAGCAGAAAAAAAAAAAAGATACAGAAATTCTGGAAAGTGACATACCAAACTCATAAAGTGCCTAGTTTTTGTATTCACGGATCTTTGAAGAGAATAAGTTGGTTGTCTGAGATGAGAGGAACTAGAGGTCTGGGGGTGGCGGAGGCCCAGGGGCGGACAGGAAGAGACTTGCTTTACATTCTATATCCTTTGCACAGTGTGAATCTTAACCATTTGCATGTACTACTTATGCTAAATGTACATGAACTTAAAAGCTCTATATAAAGTCCTATTTTTATTCCAGTATATGAATCTGGAAAGGATCTGAACTGGGTCAGCTCTGCTTAGTACCATTAAGCCCAGTGTCCTTAGATCTTTTAACCAGTTCTAACCATTGCTAAAGTATCATTTTACAGAATAGAATCAACCAAAGAATCAAATGAAAGCAGAATCTCCTTTTTTTTCCCTCTGCAGTTATTTTCTGATATTATAACAATTATATTCTGATATGATTTTCTGACTATGATAACAGTGCTTTTTGTATTCACTTTAGAAAATACAGGAAAGATAAAAAGAGAATAAAAATCACCTATAATTCTATCATCCAAAGTTAAAAGCCCTAATCAAAACATTCCAGACACAAATTGTACCAATGTTTTCAGTCCCCCAAGGCAATAGAAATAAAAACAAAAATTAACAAATGGGACCTAATCAAGCTTACAAACTTTTGTACAGCAAAGGAAACCCAAAACAAAATGAAAAGACAATCTACAGAATAGGAGAAAATATTTACCAATGATATAACTGACAAGGGCTTAATTTCCAAAATATACAAACAGTTCATACAGCTCAACAACAACAACAAAAAACCCAACTATAAAATGGGCAGAAGACCCAGAGAGACATTTCTCCAAAGGAGAAATATAAATGGCCAATAGGCACATGAAAAGATTCTCAACATCATTAATTATTAGAGAAAATGCAAATCAAAACCACAATGAGGTACCCCTTTCACCAACCAGAACAGCCATCACTAAAAACTCTGTAAACAACAAATGCTGGAGAGGATGTAGAGAAAAGAGAACCTTCCTACACTGTTGGTGAGAATGTAAGCTGCTGCTGCTGACTAAGTCGCTTCAGTCATGACCGACTCTGTGTGACCCCATAGACGGCAGCCCACCAGCCTCTGCCATCCATAGGATTCTCCAGGCAAGAACACTGGAGTGGGTTGCCATTTCCTTCTCCAATGCGTGAAAGTGAGAAGTGAAAAGTGAAGTCGCTCAGTCGTGTCCGACTCTTAGCGACCCCGTGGACTGCAGCCCACCAGGCTCCTCCGTCCATAGG